CGTCAACAAGAACCGCAAACTCTCCGAAGCCCTGCTGAAAAAGGTCACAAAAACCGGCAAGATCAAGGCACTCTTCGTCACAGCAGATTTACCCGTCGTCTCCAAGCGAGAAGCTGACGAGAGGGTTAAAAGCGCCAAGGTCGGACCAGGGGAAGATTGGAAAGGATCGGGACTGGCACGTCAGACGGGCTCGTTCATTGATCCATCCCTGAATTGGGATGATATCACCTGGCTCCGTGCTCAGGTCGACGTCCCGATTGTTATCAAGGGAATTCAGAGATGGGAGGATGCTAAATTGGCTATGCAACACGATGTGCAGGGTATTGTCCTCAGCAATCACGGAGGTCGCGCAGCAGATACAGCTCCCCCGTCCATTTTCCTACTCTTGGAGCTTCATAAGAACTGCCCCGAAGTGTTCAACAAACTCGTCGTGTTAGTTGATGGTGGATTTAGAAGAGGCTCTGATGTTCTTAAAGCTATCTGCCTTGGAGCATCAGCTGTTGGTCTCGGACGACCCTTCGCTTACTCAGTAGGCTACGGCGAAGACGGCGTCGAGCACGCCTTCAATAGTAAGTCATCACTACCTGGAGTTCAAATAACACTTCCAATACTAACACTCCCCAAGTTCTACGAGACGAGCTGGAAACCGCGATGCGTCTTTGTGGCCTGACAAACTTGGCACAAGCCAGCCCCGACTATGTAAACACTTCGGATGTAGATCATCTTGTCCGCGTTGGAGGACATCCTTACGCCCGAAAAGTGCGGAGACCCAGTTCCAAGCTTTAATGAGGTCACGGCACATCGAAGCTTGTGAATAGCCGTGCGGGTATCGACATTCCGAGAAAAGCGCATGGCTTTTCGGCAACTCCACGATCGATTACTCCTCCGACCCGGCATAAATGGCGTGGCTAAGTTGATGAGGTTACAATATCGGTACAGAAGAGGGTTGGACGCTCAAGAGAATGAGGGGGATGGGTTATATTAGATCTGGGGTTCAATATCTGTGCTTAGCTTTTGCATTTTGCCACCGGGTAAAATACGTAAAATGAAGGAGGGCACGTCAAGTTCAATGCCGAATAGATTGACAATTTACTTGGAAGCTGACCATTTATTAGTGATGCCTCTCTGTGGATCTAGCCTGTGGAGTCGAGTAACCACTTCCGAGAGGATGAAACCGGTCCCAGTTTAACCGCTTGCACTGCAATGCCGGAGGAACAATGCCCGGATCGTCGAATAAAGTCAAAGCTGAAGCTCAGAATGGCAACATGTCACCAAACCAGTCTCCGCATTGTCGAACCACGTGGCGATGGTCCAGATCGAGGAGCCCGGCTGTTTATCAGCTGCCCTGCCCTGTCATCGATTGACCCAGCCCTCTGAAATCACCCGTCGAATCATGGGTTATTCCGTCCGTTTGTGGTTTAATTGCTAGGGGGTACAGGGGGTCGTGAATTTAGCCTGAACACAACAAACAGCGTTTCAGGACATATTCCCACTGGGGTCAAAGGCCTGATTCATCTATGCAATGTTATGATCAGGGAGGAATAGCTTCGGGCCGGCTCAAATGGAGAATTTGTTTGAAACAATACCTCGTTCAGTGATCATCCCTATATAAACACTCCTTGGCACCGACTTTCAATATCGCTTTGCCTTGTCAATCACTTCTCATTCTTCATTTTTTGTATATATCTATCTTTTTCGTACATATTCACCCACAATGAAGTCATTCATCAAGGCTGCTGTCAGCACTTTCCTGCTCGTTGGCACCGTCGCCGGCGCTGCTATCGAGGACCCCGTTGAGCTCTTCAACCGCCAGGCATCCGGTGTTGTCATCCGCCAATGCACCCGGCCCGGTGTCCTCGCTCTCGCCTACGATGACGGCCCTGGACAGTACACCAGCCAGCTCGTCGACATCCTCAACAACGCCGGTGCCAAGGCCACCCTCTTCCTGACCGGCACCCTCTACGGCTGCATCTACAACCAGCAGGCCGCCATCAAGAAGGCCTACAACTCTGGCCACCAGATCGCCAGTCACACCTGGACTCACCCCCAGAACTTCGGCAGTCTCAGCACCGACGGGCTCAAGCAGGAGATGCAGAAGGTCGAGCAGGCCCTGGTCAACATCATCGGCAAGAAGCCCGCCTACATGCGCCCTCCCTACCTCGCCACCGGCGGCAATGTGCTGCCCACCATGCAGCAGCTCGGATACAAGGTCATCACCGACGATGTCGACTCCGGTGACTGGAATGGGCAATCGGCGCAGCAGAGTCTGCAGAAGTTCCAGCAGGCTGGTGCTGGTGGAAACGGTCACATTCCCCTCATGCACGAGACCTACGCCAGCACGGTGCAGACTCTCACTCCTGCCTTGATCAACTGGGCTAAGCAGAACAACCTCAAGCTCGTTACTGTTGGTAAGTTTGGCAAGGAAATGGATCAAGTGTAAGAAGTGTTGCTAACAATTCGTAGCTGACTGCCTTGGTAACGCTGGTGGTGCTTACCAGTCTGGAACCTTCAACGGTAACGGACAGAACTACTGTTAAGTCACCAATTAGCATGACTGAAGAGTTTGTTGGAACAAATCTATCAGTTGCTATTTGCGATGTTGTTTCAAGTTGAGAGGCGGTTGTATGAACGGAGTTTTCAAGTCTAGTGATTCAGATAGCTGAGCTACATCACAATGCCAAGTACATATTTCTTTCTGCAAATGGCTTCGCCTGACGCAGCGTATATATACAGAAAGACCCATTATTTAAAATAATGCTGATCACGTACCCTTGAGCCTTTTGGGACCACGGAGACCCCTCTTTCTCTCTTCTAGTTACCACTTGGGACCATTGTTATCAAGGAGAGATACAAAGTGAATCAACTATACAGGCCCTACCCAGAGTTACACGGAGCATAGTCAAGTGTCGTTGGTGGCAACACAGATACCGGCAGTGAGCCTTCCGTTGACGTTTATACTGCTGAGGCTGGAGTTGTCATTGATGCCAGTGCCGACACCAACGTATAGGATGCCAAGCTCGCTCGTCCTATCACCAAAAAGATTGAGTGGTAGAGCGTCCGGGTCCTGGTATTGCCATTTCTTTCTGGGAAGAACATCTCATTAGCTTAATCCGTAAACGTATAAATCTGTTTCTTACAGAAGCTCACTATCGACTATAGACATTTATATGCCCAGAAGCTTACGGCATCAAGATAGTGCTACTAGGGCTATCGGAATTGTGTATATAACTAGATGTTATGCTTTGTTCTTCCATATAGGTACCAAATGTCGATTAGAGATTATATCATTAGTCTAGTGTCTATCAAAGCCCAAACATTCCGAAACAGATACAAATTTGAAACCCTTGGAGGTAAAGAGATCCAATAGGTGCTGCGTTACAACTGTGGCGCTGGTATGGTATCGGCCATGCATCAAGACGATAGGTCCTGCATAGTCGTCCTTATCGATGTTGGGCTGATTGCCTACCCAGTTCTTGATGATCTCAATGGTGGACTCATATTTGTCATCCGTTCCAAAGATCCAGTCTAACGTGTCCATGTTCCACTGTATAATATTGTATCCATTGTCATTCAGGGTCATTCTGCAGTCAATTTCACATGCGCCATAAGGAGGTCTGACGAAACTGGATCGTGACCCAACCACATCATACAGCCATGCATTCATCTTTTCCTGTAAGGCATTAGCTTCAAAGAATAAAGACAAGGTATACAGAGCATACAATATTATCCAATGCCTTGTCATGGCCAGCGTCATCTAGGTTGATATGGTCCCATCTAACGGGCATTAGTTGAATAGACTGCAGAAAACTTGGCAAAACTAACGTATGGATTCCAATTTGATGCCCAGCTTTATGAGCAGCTTGCACGTATTTATCCAGCTTCACCGTATGGTAATGGTGCGGAGCATTTGGAAAGAATGTCGCTGTTGCGTTGTAGCTCTTCAAGAGCGCCAAGAGGTCGTATATCCCCTCATCAGGATTATCGTCATATGTAAGAGCGATAGTGCGTGGCGTAACACATCGCCCTACAGAGATTAATCGGGGATCTTTCTTTTCTGCGAGCTCGCTGGGTTGGCTTACTGTATACCTTTGTGCGTTCCTTCAAGGCGGAGGATGCACCATAGTCTGAGCTTCCCTGGAAGCTGAAGATAATTAGAATGTCTTGGTGTAAAGAGTCTGAGCACCTTACTAGAAGAAAACCAGGGCGATTACGAGTAGAACCAAGATCCCCTTGTGGGCTGGCTGCAAGCTGGACATGACTTGAGTGGGCTTTTTGTGGTGTGAGTAGATGTGAAAACTAAAGGCGAAAAGAGTCTAGCAAAGATTCAGAATACGAACTGAACCAGCATTCCCACCTCTGTATAAATCTGTCGTCACAAGACTTGCTGCAGTTCTCCGCCTCAAAAGTCCCATACACCCTTCCGACCCGAGGTAGCGTCACGCCGCAGCCGGCATTTCTCTCTGCCAACTATTGCAAGGCAACGCCTTTCACCGCTTGACGAGAAGCTTTATTCATACATTGTTCCGGCAATTCCGATGCCACCGTCATCACATCACCGCCTTGATATCTTTACGGGCGTCGAGAGTCGGGACTACCAAACGTTAAGTAGCGGGGTGAAAAACGTGTGCGTGTCCGTGCATGAACCTGGTTCCCGGTAGTGATGTAACAACGAGTGACTTCGCTGAATTTTTAAGTTTGGCTCTCGGGCAATATTTTCTCGATGTAACATAACGGCAATTCCGTGTGAGTAAAATCGGTAAAGACAGGCAAGTGGCTGTTGCAGGCGATGAGGTGAGGCGTGCGATGGAAGCACTGACATTGAGCGAGTAAAAGTTGGGAAATCGGGACGTTTTGCTAGTTGTGTGGCTATGGCATTACTTCTCTTAAAGAAGAAAAGCCATATTAGGAAAACTTGTGTCAGCCACCAACACTTGTACTTATCATCAACTAGGAAGCAGGATACTCTTCTCTCGTTATTCTTCATGCATCATCAAGCAGATATGACCACCAAAAAAGAAGGACACATACAGTGGATCGAGGTATGTTAACAGCAAAGCACCATCATTTCTTGTTAAGTACCAACTAACGAGTATCAGGGCCTCCGTGGCATCGCGTCAACGCTGGTCTGGATCGCTCATGTTACACGGGCCTATGATCTTGACCTCTACTCTCCAGTCTCTGGCGAAGGATTGAGACCACGACTTTTCCAACTTCCTTTCCTGCGGATTTTGATCCAAGGCCGAATGGGAGTTATTATCTTCATCTATGTCACAGGCTATGTATGTGCACTGAAACCATTGGCATTGTTTCGACGGGGCAATTATGAAGCTGGCTGGAGTTGCGTTTCCAAGTCTGCGCTTCGGCGACTTCCACGTTTGTTGTATCCCAGTGCCGTTGCAACAATCATAGCGTGGGCTGCGACACAACTGGGACTTTTCGAGGCTGCAAAAATGACGAATAGCTACTACCTGACTCAAACAGTCCAGGACAAGCTACCGCTATCTTCAGCAGTCGGGCAACTCTTTGTCAATATTTTCAACACCTGGACGGGAGCTGGAAACAAGTATGACGTTCATCAGGGCACGCTCTTCGAACTGTTCAAAGGCGGGATGTATGTGCTTCTGTTCATCACTGCAACTGCAAAGGTTCAAGCAAAGTTCAGAATGGGCGCATCATTAATCCTATGGGCCTACCTTTGGGCTTGTGGCCGACGTAAGTAGTCTTCTTGAAACGCATTGCTGAGGATATGGCTGACAGATCTACAGCGTACCTTATGCAATTCTGGTGGGGAGTCTTCATGAATGACTTGCATAACTCTAAACTGTCCCAGCGTATCTCATGGAGCAAGTCTAGGTATATCCCCTGTCTGGGTTTCTTGTCCGTAGCAGTCGGTCTGTTCATCGCATCATTCCCTGAAAGCCGCATTGAGTTGGCTCCCTGGTCACATTGGCAAAATCAGATCTTATCAGCAATTGTCCCTAAGGACTCCGAATTTCCCAAGTTCGCATCTTCCTTCGGATTCTGTCTTTTCACAATTGGCGGAGTCTTGTTACCTGGGTATACAGACATTCTATCCCATCGTGTCCTGGTATGGCTCGGCAAGCGGTCATTCGCGGTGTATCTTCTCCACGGTACGCTGCTAAGATGGTTACTCACGTGGATGGTATATGGAACTTCTCTATCACCCACTCTACAGGTTCAACGGCCAGAAGGTGCTTCTCCAAAACTTGAATATGCGGGTAATACGTGGCTACTCTTTTGTCTACCACCTTGGCTTGGGGTTCTATATGGACTCGCTGAGATGTGGACAAGATATGTTGATACGGCAGCTGAACGATTCACCAATCAGGTTGTTGCCTACATTCGACAGGAGGAGCTGAAGGGCTTGTCATTGGTCTGAACGCAAGTGCGTCAAGTACATAATACTACTCTCACGATACTTGGATAGAATGGTCTGGGGCGACTTCTGATGTTTTTAAAACGCTTATATAAAGTGGCAGAGTTTAGAACCAAATGCATATGTGTGTTTACTCCAGGAGCACGTTCAATCGACTTATCTCTTATCCTCTTGATCTATATGCAAGTAGCTATAATGTTGGTCCTCCATGTTGGTCCTCCATGTGCCATAGAACAGCTAAGCAATTTTGGGCCACTGATCTGAATAATCCGATCGTGCGTTTCCATGAAACTCGTATTCTTCCTAGTCACCGCCTACTTACTGAATAATAGTTATCACTTCCCGAATAGCATCATTACTCCTCGATAATTGTAGCATGTAAGAATGCGTTACAAGAGGCGGTGTGATACTCCTGCAGTTTACCGTCTGCAGGCTTGACTCGATAGCCACGACCCTTGTCACGACGTCTTCATTGGGTTCACAAATACGATGCCGATAGACTTCTGACTCGTATTCCGGGCCCTACTCTCTACGTTGCATTAGAGCGGGCGGGCCGATGGCGATGTAGCCTCGGCAAGTCCTCAACTCAAGGCGAGCCTATCGAAGCTCTAAGACATGACCTCAACACTTTTCTACCCTCTCGACCTTATGAGTGACCAATGAAAAACGACCCGACGGTAATGTCGTTCGACGAACGGATGAACTTTGGAGAGTTTAAGCTTCATCGGTGAACTTACCGTACGCTCGGGCTATTTTCGCCACAGGCTAAATGCAACAAAACCAACGGTTACTGCCACTTCTTTAGATCCAGTGCCTAACCATTCTAAACGTGATTATTTATGCCTTGAAATTGCGATTTAAAAACCAATCTTTGGCGCTTGTAAAATGACGGACTCTTATCTTCGTCTCTCGTTTGGCATCTTGAACATATTGGGATTACTTCTACTATCTTTTATACCATGGCCAACTCCTCCTCCAATCTTCATCGGGCTGCCCGCCAAGATACTGCAGCTTATCGCCATCTTCTACAAGGTCGAATATGTGCACATGGTATGGCGATGGATCAGATATGAACCTGTGCAGGCTCCCGCCAAAGACGACAAGCTCCCCTTCATCAGCATCGTCATACCCGTCTTCAACGAATCCGAGTTCGTGAGAAACTCAATCAAGTCTATTGAACTGTCAGACTATCCCAAAGATAGGATTGAGCTGATAGTCATCGATGACGGCTCTACTGATGATACATGGGAACATGTCAACAAGGCTGCAGGCTCGGTCTCCACGTCCGGAATAACGCTTCGGCTCTTACAGCATGCCGTAAACCAGGGAAAAAGAAAGGCCATACAGACTGGGTTTGCTACTGCACTTGGAAGTATCATCATATCACTCGACTCAGATAGTGTCGTGGAGAATGGTGCGCTCCGCAATATCGTGAGCCCTTTAGTGAAGGATCCTTCGATCGGCGCTGTCGCTGGACACCTGGCTGTCTTGAACGTATCGAGTAGCAGCATATTCTCGTTTCAGAGTCTTTTGCCGCGACTCTTGGATATTGTCTTTGATCATATCGGTAACCTACCGCGCTCGGCACTCTCAGCTGAGGGGTTTGTCACGATCCTCCCTGGCGCTTTCTCAGCCTTTCGTGCAGATGCAGTACAATCTCATATCGATAGGCTATGTACAAGCACATTCCTTGGCGCACCTCTGAAACATGGAGAAGATATGGAGCTCGCATACCGCATTCTCTGCGACGGATGGAGGACGGTTTACCAAAGCAACGCTGTCGTTCATACTATGGCGCCTGAAAATCTTGAAAAAGCGCTACTGATGTTTTCCCGATGGGAACGTACCAACTATACTTTCCTCTGCATGGGATATCCTGCTTTGACAGTGCAGAAAACATTGAAGCTATGGCTTGCAATGCGACCCCAACCCGTTCAGTCCCCAGAGTTTGCCGACAAGGAAAAACAGGAAGACGAACCCTTCATCACCAAAGACGGAACAGGGAGCATATATCCATTTATAAACGTGGCATGCATCTGGCTGAAAGGCCCACTGATGCTCTTGGTCACCTACACGTTGCTGAGATGTGTGATTCTATACCCCAGACATGCGCTTTGGATATTACTGGAGATCTCGATTCTGACAGTTTGGAGAGGCTTCATGCTTATTCCAGATGCCCTTCGAGAGAAACATACAGAGTATGTTTCTGATGTTGGCGGCCTACAAATCTATCACACAAATGGGAGGCTGGTATGGCGATTGATGCTTTCCTGGCTGGCGGGGATGTTTCAGTTGGGGGTTCTGAGTTGGACCTCGATTTTCGGAATCGTGACTTTGAAGAGCCAAAAGTGGTGGACGAGATAAATATGTAGTTATTTAGTTTAGAAATCATTGTATGTGATCGTTCGACTTCGTTCAGAAGTTGTATAGAGTTTATAAATAGATTATTAGACTTTCACTAAGTATGTCATAGCTGGGAGTACCTGGCTACATCGTAAGGAGCCCCAAAGTCTATGTGATTGCCGGGTCCCCATTACCGAGCCAACAGAGTCAGGTAGGCTTCCGGCAAGAGGGAAACGACAATGATAGGCTCAATCAGCCGAACCAAGACAGCCCTGCCATTTTCAAGTTTAACTGCTACCCAGGAGAATAAAAGTATTCATGCTCTGTCGCGCTAATTGATTCTATATAAGCTGTGTTTTACTTCTGGGATTCGTCTCTTACAATAATAAAAGCCACACATCTCATCGATAGTTGTTCTTGGTCTCTTTTCAATATCACCAACCTTTAGAGAGCAAGCAAGCCATCCTGCAGTGCGATGTTTGTGAACAACCAGCAAAAAAGGTCTGATGAACCAGCCTGCCTATGTCATAGCGGCACTTCCTTCCCCGCAATTGACCACCCTCGGACGGACAAGCGCAGTCTCGGTTATGTCATGAACCTCGATACACAATTGACGACATTGTTGGTCGCAATCCGAGCATGTCTTCTATGTTCAAACGATTACCGGATAATGCAAGATGCGCTCCTGGCTCTAGAAGGCATCTTGCTGCTTCTCGAAGCAGAACAACGCGTCTATGCTCCATCTACAAGGACTCAAACACCTGAAAACAGCTACTTATCGTCCCACCAGTCAGGTAGTAGTCCAACATCACCTGAAGAATCCACACCGGAGAAATTCGTGTTCGGAAGCCTTATCCTCGATGATACTGAGAGCAGAGTCATCGCAAGAAGGCTTATCAGAGACGCAGCTATAAGAATGGGGCAGAACCTTCGGTGGATTGGTATAAAGCGCAAGGCTGGGATATTAGGTCCTCAGAAACTCGACCAGGAAATAGAACTAGCTATGGACCGCGTGAAAATTATAGTCGCAAGAACGTCTCTACATTTACATAAGTCTTAAGATAGACAGGAAAGTTGTAGACAAACTTGATACCATAGAGTAGACAGGCACATTCAGGGGAACCAACGAGTCCTGTTATCATTCGCACATCTACGTTATAGACAGGTGAAAGCAGTCCGTGGTCCACAAGAACACTGTCCAATAAAGCTTCGTTTTTTTATTTACTCCTATATACTACAGAACTGCTCGCTTTCCAAAAGGTCTATCGCTCCAGAGATCGCTTCTAATCGACTCTCAGCCATTTCGAGCATGAGTCGGGTCATTTTGTACCATCGACTCGGCTTCCCTTCTCCTACTGTACAACTAGTGCTGTTAATGTCTTCTATCACACGAATGGCCCTCGTGATCCTGTATTTGACGAGTTCATATGTGCCAATAATGCCGTTTTGCCCTGTTAGGACCGAGTCGCCGATTTTCAGGCGACAACTCTGGAGAGCAGCAGGATCCTCCAGAGCGTCTGCAATTCGAGATGAGATCCAGTCGTACATTAAAACCAACGCGCTGGATAACTCCATGCTTCGAGACATACACACCGGACATCCCGAAATTCGCTTTTGCACCTGCTCGGCTGTCCATGAGACTTGTAATACTGCATCCAGACGTAGAGAGGACGAGCTCCCCGATCCAGTGATATACATAAGCAGTTGGGCTTTGCTCAGTAGCTGGGGCCAAGAGGTTGCACATGGATGGTCGTCAAGATGACATGACCCGAGTGGTCGTTTGACGATGTCGGTGATTGTGGCCATGATGGAGTTGATGTCCATGTCGAGCTCTGGAAGATGTCCATCGGATTTGTCTGTTTCAAGGCCTGCGACTTTGTAAAATCCTGCTAGGCTTGAGCAGGTATGGCTCGGTGGCCACTCGCTAGTCGCACCATATCCTGGACATGGGTCTTCTGAGCCATTATTAAAAGGAGCATTGTCTTGGTTCCATTCTTGCTTCAAATGCCCGGGTGAGGCCGAGCCAAGACCCTCATCTTTACTCAACAGTATATCCTGCAGTATCAAGTCATCCAAATCGCAGACGCTCGAGGGCTGGGTGACATCTGAGCCGGGACATGGTGTTAAAGTCCAAGGATACTGCAACAAAAGTGCGATATCTTGTGAGTCAGGAGAGGACAGAAGGATATCTGGGTTTGGTAAGGTCGGTAATTCGTTTTCCAGAGAAGATAGACCATTGACTGGTTGGTCGTTGTAACAGATGAGGTTCGTTTGTGCGCCCCGGTCAATACAGGATGTGATTAATGCTTTGCTCTGCTTGGGCTTCAGACGCGGACGCCCAGCTCGCCGAGCTTGGCTGTATACGCAGTCTAGGCCTCGTATTCGACATCGCTGACAAGAAGGCATTTCACCACTGCATTTGAGCTTGCTTTTAGTGCAGCTATCACAGCAGCCTCGAAGTCTCGGCTGGGTCATGGTAATTGAGCATTGATTTCGGAGCAGAATAGGGTTGTGCATATTCTCCCAAGGATCCAACATTTATTTAATGAGTAAGTAGACAGCTTGGTTGCTGATAAGACGAGCCGCTTTTGAGGTCTTTGCGTTTTCGAAAAACATTCGATGGGCTCAGACCGCCTGATTTTCTGAATCGGCGATCCCATCAAGGACTGCCCTGCCATTTTGTCATTACTACTCTCTTTGTGAGCTGGTAGACTTTTAAGTTACCTGACCGCCATGTGCGGGTTGCAGCTAAGACCTGTAGCTCAAAGCTTATCCTCAGCCGTAGACATGGGAAACTAATAAGTTGAATGCCCCAGAGAAGTTTAAGCTGCTTATTATTATATTATTTTGTTGCCAACCGTATTGCGCTTCAACATAATATACAAGACTAAGAAGTGATGTTGTCTGTAGCAACCGCATTACCAATTCCGAAGCCAAACGTTGCAAGATATAAGGTTTATACGAGAATGAGAAACGAGGTCGCATTGGCATTGGAGGCCATGTTACTCTGACAAGCCAACCGCGTCAACGGAGAATGAACATACGATGTAGTAGGTGCCTGGCAATGGATCCCAACAAGGAAGTATCGCGGCCATGAATTGCTCGGTGTTTTATATGGGCTGACTAAGGCCTGGGCTACTTAAAACTTCTTGTTGGCTGCCAGCTCTTTGCGCCAGAGAGATATGTAAGCTATCCGTAAAGTGGGGGGGAGTTAGCCCTGAAATACAGGGGACTCGCCTATATCCAGCCCTGAGCGGTGGAACTGCTCAGCTATATCTACGGTAATTAATAGTTAGCCATTAGATCCTAGGCTCAGACAACTGCAATATCAGATAAGTAAATTGTAAAGGACTTCAATTCAAATACTTATCATATCACTAGGAAAAGGCCACGAAAACATTGACCATCGCTTTTTCTGCCCACAGTAGCCAGTCTTCTTTATAGCATCTCTCTGTAGCTGCCAGAACCAAATTGCGATATGCCCAGTATTGTATTTAGACTGGTACTGGGAGAGTACACTGGTCTTTCCTCATACCATTTCTGCAAAAGCCTTCGGCATCATTTTCTCCAGTATCATAGCACATCGACGAAGGTACCAATTTGCTGGTAGTAGCTATTACCGAATCTGGTTTCGGTGTGACAGAATTATTCACATGCCACCACATAATCGAGGCATGGCCATCCTTATGTAGTATCTCCGCGTTTTTGCGGGGTGACATTGGTCACTGGAACTTAAAGGGGCGCACCTCAATCAGATGAGCCTCAGTCAGGCCAAGTCACCCAGTATGCCAAGAATAAATAAACTCAAGACTAGATCAGCATTCCTCTCAAGAAAAGCTATGATGACTGGTCCTTTCATCAGCTGTGCAATCTGGAGGCCGCAGCAGCTTGGTGCCCAACCTCCGAGTCACAACGGAGACTTCCCGAAAATGGCCTCTAAGTTAGATAACTGCTATCGATCTGGTGGTGGCTTGGCCACAGAGCGATGTGGCCTTCTATACCATGGGCTTTGCCCTTCGTCAAGATTACTGGCCACTGGATAATGTGGTCTAGACGCAGCTGGGCGAACATGGGTGCATGACCATTTGCGGAGTGACACAGGCTTCAGGCAACCTTTTTGCTTTTAGTCGTACGGCTGAGCAGCCAGTCTAAGCTTAATCGAAGGGGCTGAGCACTGCAGATTAATGTATAGATAACAAGGTCTTATCTGCCCCCTATACTTGCGTCTTCCCTCCCACGATGTAATTTACCCGTTCTTGTTTTCAAACATGTCACGATAATACAGAAGCGTTCCCTTAATTCTTTCACGACTTATAGGGCGTCGGAGGCTCAGAATCTACTCCATGCAATGGCGGCAAAATCCTGGTTCCCCATTGCAGTCTTGGTCACCAGACTTCATCTTTCAATCCAACATGATCCCATCAAGGACTTTTGTCGGCGGTTTGGACACCAGACAGCAGTGGTAGATCGCAAACTCTACATTGATGGGGGACTGGTCAACTGGAAACCGCTAGAGACCGACCCAAAGAATTATACAAGTACGCTATATTCCAGTATCTTGCTCGGAGTGAAGTAACCATGTCCTCAGATACCTGGATGATGTGGCACGACCTTGATCACAACAGCAAGGATAATATGCCGCAGATTCATGCGAACCTCAGCAAGAATGTCTCGATTCCTTCCGTACATGGCGGTGCTCTGTGGGCAGATGATGTCAACTACCGATTATTCCTCTTCGGTGGCGAGTTCTTTAGTGGCAGCCCGACGACTTCGAACTTCATGTCCTACGATATATGGTATGATCAGTGGGATGATTTCGGACCGCCCTCCGATGATATCAGGCGCGTCAGTTATGGTGCTTCTACAACTGTGAAGGAGCGAGGGGAAGGGTAAGTTTACAGTTTTCCTGGCTTGGGTGGCTTTTATAAGGTGACTGGTGCTGAGTTCGTTAGATATTACTATGGAGGCTACCTTTCGAGAGCTTCTGTGCCAGACTGGACCGGCGAACGACATGCGACATCAGATCTGATCCGGTATCAGATGGATAGCAATACGTGGGCGAAGTTATCAGGACCAGACGATATAAAACGCGCTGAAGGAGTCATGACATTTATCCCTGCGAGCGACCGAGGAATGCTGGTCTATTTCGGCGGCTTTCAGGATCCTGGCGATAATGGCACGATGATCTCACAGCCACTGGATGAGATATTCCTCTACGATATGATATCGAACAAGTGGCATGTTCAAAAGGCAAACGGGACCATTCCTGAGAGTCGGGGAAGATTCTGTGCTGGAGCTGTATGGGCAGAGGATCGCAGCAGCTATAACATGTAAGCAACCCGGTCAAATTGACCTGTCATCATGATGCTGACTTATACTTAGATACATAAATGGGGGTCATGGACTGGAGGGTCCTGGATTCGACGACGTCTATATCCTATCTTTACCATCCTTCACGTGGATCAAAAGCTATCCTCTCGACCAAAACGGGACAGGTTACTACCCATCTCACAGCCTATCATGCGATGTCATCAACCAAGGCTCACAAATGCTTACTATCGGCGGAGCATTCCCACAAGAGGAAACATGTGATGTCGAGGAGGTCTGGGGCGTCCACAACATCGATTTGGGCAATCAGATTAAGTCGAACTTCAAAAAGGTCTGGGCAGGCTATGAGCCCAGCCTCTTCGGATACAAGGTTCCTGACTTTGTGACGGGCGTCATTGGGGGAACGGAAGATGGCGGTGCGACTAAGCTTAAACCTGACCATGGTTTTGTTAATCATGATCTTGGCACATTGCTCAATATGAAAGCAGTCTTTACCAAACGCACGAAGCTCGATGATGGGCGCAGTGATCCGGCGGCTACTTCATCAACAGGAGGATCAAGCTCAAAATCAGGATTGTCAACAGGTGCGATTATTGGTATCGCTGTCGGTGCTGGAGTTGTTCTACTGGCAGTCCTTATTGGTCTGTGGCTGCTCCGCAGGAAGCGAAAGGTACAGCGCGATATACAATCAGCTCCCACGACAGAATCGTTTTACTCAGTCCGATATATGCCGCAAACTTCAAGCCCGCTAAACTATCCTCAGTCTCCCGAGCGATGGCACCGCGGAAGTCCCGGAGTTCGAGAGTATGAGGGGGAAGACCCAGGTCAGGTTCACTACTGGAGACCGTTTCAGGTCAACGTGGAGCCGTGTGAGATGGATGGGCAAGGGACTAGATCACCCGAGACTCACGCCGAGATCGAATACATCAGAAGCCGTGGAGTTTCTCGCTAAGCAGCTGCTTGAAGGTTATGAGAAACGAGGATTTATTGATCACAGGAGACACGAAATCAGAGAGTGCCTGGAGCACATCTACACACGATATGCTGATTAATTGTTAAGAGTTATTATATAAGAGATTAAGTATGTTTGTGCTATTCAATACGCATGTTCACCTAGGATATTTTTAAATGTTATTATTCCTCCACGCTCTCGGCGAGTGCAACTCCTCCTCGCTCTCACTCATGGCTGTTTTCGTTATCTTGACCTCCCACTTGGTCTCCTTCTTAATACCAAGCTTGAGGTCACTCGGCTGTCTCGCATCAAACGCCGACGCTTTCTTTTCAGGACCATCCTGACGACTCACTGACGAGAGTGTGTACGCGTCTCGACTTCCAAAGGCCCTTGGTGTTCCGGGCCCAGGAGTGCGTGGTGATGATCCGTAGCCAGATGGACCGAGCGATAGAGGCTTGCTGGTCAGGTTGAGGCGGAAGGCGATTTGTTTGATCAGGGGGCGTAGGGTTGCTAAGCTACTTGCTGTGATGGCCAAGCCTTGCTCGATGGTTGACCAGATCGCGATGTCAGTGGTGTTCCCTGGTAGTGATAGGTTAGTTGATTGATGGCCACGTAATCAGGGGTATCTTCGACTTACAGAGGAAATCAGGCTTTCCAAGGAGATGCAAGTATGGGAATCGAGCAATAACGGCTGCGCTAGCGCTGTTGACTGTCAGTATAATTGGTTTCATCTGTGGTATAACAAAGACGTACATGCAACCCATAGCAAGTAGAGGGATCAGCGAGTATTTCGTTCGCTTGTGCAGCTGCAGATTCCACACAATCCACCCAGGAAGCAGCGCAAAAACAAGATCAGAGCCAACAGCGAAAACACTGTAGAGAGCTGCCAATCCAATGACGACACCAGGATTGATACACTTGCCATCTTGGTCCTTGTTCCAGAAGTACGATATAGGATGGCACTGGAACAGGGTTACGAAGAAGAAGATGCCGCACGAGATGACAGTCGAGAACATGGCGAGGTAGATGGTCCATCGTTGGATCTTTTCGGTGGTGACTCTGAGGAGGAAATAGCCGATGGAGAGTTTGCATGCTATCATGGTGAGGGCGTATCCGAGGTAGCAGAACCACCAGCACATCATCGCAGTGTGGATTTGGTTGGTCTCGAGGTCGTCGTGGTGTCTTCCCGTGCCGAACGTGACACCAACAGTCGATGAGGTCGCATAACAAGTGAAGAATACCTAGAGAAATAGAAGGTCAATTGCTGAGAACTCGCAACCCCTTGAGGCTCAACATACCATGGCGACAACCATCAGCCAGTCATCCTTCCTGAACCCATTGACCATAAACAACCGAACATAGCATCTCAAAAGACAAGTGATGATCGCCATGGCCCAGAAGGTGATATTCACCGCCATGAGCTGCGGCCCTCGATTCTCAATGTGAGCCGCCATAATGGGAGGGGACAGATCAATTGATGGTTTCTGCGCAAATAAAGTTTGTCAGGATGGAAATCCCGCCAAGAAACAAGTTCCTAGGGGCGACGAGATCCTTTAAATGAAACGACTGGATTTGCCATTGTATTTTTTGTGCTTCGGTATTATACCTGCCTGCACTGTACTAACCGTTGCATTACGTTCTAATTGCGGTATTGCCGTCCGACTGCAACGGCTGCGGTGCCCCGTATGCGGGCCAAGATAAGATAGCTCGGTGCATAATTTGCTATCGACAGAAATACCAGTTTGCTATCTAGCGTAATTACCAGTATGCCCGTTAGTCCGGCTTTCTGTCACCCAGCGTTAGCGTTTCGGTACTATTCACTTAGTGTCTCCCGTTCAAGGAGGTTCAACGGCACTCGCCAAGGATCTGAGACAGACTTGGTGTGCGTCTGCCAGGGGCGTTGCCCCATTTGGCGTACATCCGATGTAACCTCTGCCCAATTCCGCGTTTTGACTAGGCCGACTCTGGCTCGGCTCCCGTTGATCATGAACAAGCACCTGCTACGTTGAGCCCCTATAATGTTTGAAAATAAAGACCTCAACGGCTCAAAGGAGAAAAACAAGTACCGGTGCCCGGAAGAAACACCCAAAAGAATGAGTAATTCCGGATATCCAGGTGATAATGGAATGTCCATGTATAGAAACAATGCAGTTCACGTGGCAGACTCTCCACTGCATCTGGAATGATGAGATCAGGGAACAGTGGGGCGAAACAAGGGGTAATAATCTAGGTAAAAGAGGGGAAATGACCATTGTTCACATGCAAAGATGTTGGATGTGCCGATGTTATAGTTTCCCTCTCGGCTCTAGCATCGAAGCCAATTGCCACAAAGTAAAGTCAGCCATAGCAGCGCTTAAGCAATTGTCGTAGTTATACTCTGTACAGACACTGCATATCGTATTCATCACGTTACATAAAGACCCACGGATAAAGATTCCCTCCAGGTTTGCCCCTGTCCCACTTATCAGGGCAGTACATCTCCACCTGTCTACCCGATAGGGCGGTATATCCGGTTTACTCTTGGCTGCTTTTCAACAATAAGAGGGGACGTATACCTACCTCATGTGGTGAGTGCAATTAATATCCATCTATGCTATGGGCACACGTCTGTCAGTTATACAAGACCCGATTACCTGGAGACGAAAGACTTGCCATAATTGCCTTGACATGCGGCTTGGCATGGAGATAACGAAAGGATTTCCAACAAAGGCTACAATGATGTCACTTGCTCCCGTTTCAAGAGCCAAGATGGATTTGTTTCAGGTCTCGTGCGTCAACTAGCTTGGCGTCTCAACTTTGCAGCCTAGTGCTAGACCCGCCAAAGTGGTCTGCACGCTACTGCAGACATTACCCTGGAGTACGCATCCTTTGGCCATGGAACCAGCATGAAGTGTTCTCTTGTTTGCTTAATAAGAATCACAATCTCTATACAAATTCGTCTTATGTAACAGCACAGACATCATAGCCTCAATTTTAGCAATATCCCCATTATCTATTAACGCTATAGGTATTGCATGCTATTGATAAGTCCGCCCCATTGATTTCAGTGCAGCCTCAAGGTGCAACATTAACGTGATACTACAATATCTAACTAGGCTACATCGTCACTGCAGCACCGTAGTCTCAAGTCGTTTTTCCTTGCGAAACCTACAGAGTTAGAGTTAGTATATCAACGTTTTGCCCCTAATCGGAGTGACGTATTTGACGGTTTCAGATAGTAAAGCGGATTCCAGTGGATTCTAAGTTGAAGGCCAAGTAATGACGGCACCGCTTTGAAACACACAGCACTGAGTGCCAGCCTTTCCATTTTGAGCTAGGCAGTCCATAGAGATTGAGTCACAGTATCATAGAGGACAAGAAGCATAGAGTTAGAAAGCTAGAATAAGTAGAATTGAGTATCTATAGACTCTATTCTAAGAAAGATAAAGACAAATAAAATAGCCTATCCCCGGAGAATGAAAAGAATGTAGTTACTAGAGAAACCTAGTCGTTCCTCTAGTATTGGTAAGGGCTAGCACCCAAAAGCGCAGAAGGCGCAAAGTCAGCCGCAGCAGGGTTCAAAGAGCCAAAGCGCTCAAAGATGGCAGCCATAGAGTTGTGCGCTGGCTGCAGGCCACCATCAACCCAACCCCCAAGGAATGACGTGCAGTCACTGTTGATCAAGACTCGAGAGCTCGAAGTGTCGTTGAGCTTCTGGTAGTCATAGAACATGGAAGAGATGAGCTTATCCTGTCCTGGAAGACCGAGGGAGAATGCACCGTAGGAGTACTGATCGAGAGGCCAGTGGACGAGGTAGACGTCATCATCGGTGACGGGGTCGAGAAAGTCGGCGTAGTTGGGATAGTTGCTGCTTCGCATGATACGAGCAATCTGCTCCTTGAGGATAGAGAGTAGTTTGTGGGGATCCTGGATGGCCAGGATGGTCTGGGAGAGATCCTCCCAAGCGTACGTGAGTAGGACCATGCCGTAGTCTGGGTGTCCGTAGTCAAGCGTGTAAGCCTGGGGAAGGTCTGTGTCAGACAGAATGACACGAGGAAAATCGGCAGGCTGGTCGCTCCAGAACTTCTTCGTGCGGATGAAGAGCTTGGAGGAGGCTGTCATGTGGAGGTCGGTGATACCACGGTTGACAGCAGTTGACATGATGGGCTCATTGGTCGTGTCCGATACATCGGCAAAGGCAAAGTTCATGGCTCGGCTCGAGGTACCAACAACAGCAAAGTCATACTGGGACTGGTCAGCGGTGGAGTTGCCGTCATCAGAAGATGGAGTCTCCTGGATGACAACATAGTCAATATCGCCACCACCACCGCTGGTGATCTTGGCAACAGTGTCAAACTTGGTCTTGAGGCCGAGATCAGTAGCCTTCTGCCAAATGGCATTAGCCAACTCCCTGATGCCAGTCGCTTGAAGACCATCATCAGTCATCTTAGCAAAGATAGCCTGGTCGGACTCGAGGCCATTGACGATAAGACGGAAGATGGAGTTGAAGCCAGCAGAGTAGACGGCGCCAAAGCCACCTGAGCCAACACCGAGGGTACCGAAGCGCTCAAAGTCATCTTCGGTCCAGACCTGACCACCCGGAACATCCCACTCGTGCTTCTCGCCAAAGATGCGCTGGAGAGCAGTGTAAAAACTGTCGTTGCCAAACTCATCAAGGTACTTTTGCCATTCAGGGATGACCTGGTTGCGTGTGTCGACGTCAGATGAACTGAGCCACTTTGTGAGCTGGGTGGCCGCAGTGATCGACTGAGAACCACCAGTCAAGCCTTTGGAGATCAGAGAACCCCAACCGTTGCTGACCTTCTCGAAGCCTTTGACAGTGACGTTCTGGCTGATCCAAGAGGTAGGAGTTTCTTGGTAGAAGACAACAGTGGGAACCTTGCCTGGATCAGGGAAGTTCTGAATGAAGGTGTAGTTGAACTGATTGGCATAATAGTACAGAAGGTCCTCAGAAGGAGGGAAACGCATCGCTCCCATCTCAGCAACGTTGACTCCATCAGGGGTCTGAATGGTACGGAGACGGCCGCCAACATCATCCGTGGCTTCAATCAAGGTGACATCAGCGCCAGCCTTGACGAGGTTGAAAGCCAGAACAACGTTGGTGATACCACCGCCAACAAGAGCGATGGAGAAGTTGGAGGGCAGAGTTCCAAGTGGCTGGTCGATATCGCCCGCAGCCTGGTTCCAAGCCGAGTACACGATCTGAGGTGTATCGACCCAAGCTTGGGGACGGACCTTTTGCTCGCCGATCTTGGAGGACTGCCTTTTGGCGAAGTGGGAGTTGTAGACTGGTTTAGGGGAGGGGATAGTGCGATCCCTTTTGGAAGGCTTGTGAGAGGAGTCTCGCTTGTTGAAGTTGAAGAAGCGCATGGTGAACGATTGGAAAAGGTTGGTTGAGAGATTGTGAATGAGTGTGAAGTAAGCTGATGAGTTGGAAATATAGCTCAGAACGGGGGAGATATATCGCTGCCTTTATAGATCATTGATAATATCTATCTATTAGCAAATTACGTTGCTAGCATACCATCAAGCTATCACCGAGCTCTTCACATCAACTGCCGAGAATGACCATGAGCTCTCTCCCAGAACGTTGACTTAAACCTACAACGACTCAGGACCGACTGACTTGGCAAGTATCTTTGGTCGGATGAAATGTTCCGCGTATAGCCAATGATTAGTTCATAGCTTCTCACAGTGAGAAGATATGATAATGGCCCTTGCGCAATAAAATATGAAACTGACACGCGTGGTGGATATCAGTGGCCTTTTTGATGCAGAGTGGAAAGAACCTTGGCAATCGAGAGCCTACCCGGATGACCAGTCAGCTGTGGTATGTAACCGGATCGCCAGGGCCATGTCATACAGCAGGCTCTTCTGGGTGATGGGACGAACGATTTCCGTAACCCCTGGTCTTCACATACAAGAGGGTGCAGAGGGAGACCTGTGCGTACCATATTGATGCCCAATGAATGGTCGAGGGTAAGAGTACGTGGAGTGACAGCGAATGCGAGAAGAGAGTGATGTCTCTTCCAGTGGAAGTGTGCATTCCAGGGTAGTGCCGACCAAGTTCCATTCCCCGTCTTCTGCCATCATACCGCGATAGACAGACCAACAAAGTAACAGTTACTGCCGATAATACTACTGCAGCATCGGATCATGTCGTGAAGTGGGAGCTACGTGGAGTGTCAACCCTACATACGCGGAAACCTAAACTCTCAAAAGGGAAGTGTTAATGCAAGGTTCGGTATATAGCGGCAAGGGCCGTTCACGATCCTAGCTGAAGATAAGGGACTATCTCCCTTGTCTCTCTTACTTAATGATTATATATCAAGCTCGTCTATTAACTTTCGGCAATTTCCTGATTTCCTATTCGGCCGGCAAGTCGGAAACATTACCCATGCGTCACTCCCGTGGTGGCGAGCGGGCCGATGCGAGGGAGAAGAGCAAAAGGTAAAAAATCCGCGGATTATCCATATTTATATCACAGACATTTCCATTTCAAGAAGGTGATATCGCAGCCTGGAGATGAGACGGATGACACTGGATCCCTTAATAGAAATTATATTCTAAATAGAGGTTGATTTGGGCAGTGATATCGGCCCGACGCTCCCAAATTGGTAGTGGAGATGTATGATTTGCCGGCAATTTGTGGATTATATGTCACTCACTCTTATTCAGTGGACAGCGGAGGTAGCCGTGCCTCCTTGCATAGAGGTTCTGGAATGAGGGAGAAAATGGACAAGTGATAGACAAGGGTTCGCGATGAACTGTCAACGTCCCATAATGTCACCTTCGGAGTCGTGCCCGAGTCCTATCGTCCAATCGGGCGAGACCTATCAAGACAGCATGATCTGATGATAGGTCTTCATACGAGCACTTCGAAACTCTAAATCTTCTTTGTTGCAATTCTATTCGTGGGCTGATATGCCTTCACACGCGAAATATGGTTTATACAACCTTGCGATAGATGACAACCTCTGAGACATTGGGTTGCACAGGAAAGAAAAAAACCGGTTTCCTCCGTTATGTCGAGATTTGGTTAGAGAATGCAGGGTATACCTAAGCAAGAGAAAAGAGGGAAGAATAGGGAATCTTATTGGCTGGCATGCGAGCATAACAGAGAAAGGAAAAAAGAATAATGATGTTCTGAAGATGATAGCAAAAATACCTATATAAACTGAATATCTTCAGCTTAAAGATTCTGATATCAATCCACAGCAAGTTCAACATCATGAATCCCAAGTACACTCTTGCAATGCTTTGGCCAACGGCCATTGCAGCCCTCACTGTTTCCAACTCTTCATCTTCTATTCTCTTGGATAACCAAGACCAAATCTTCTCAGTAAATGACACGCAATATCTGGCTGTCACTTCTGATATCCTTTCTTCAGTTTCATACTCCTCAGATCCTGCTCAGGGACCTGTTACCTACATCTCCGGCCTAACCTCCAGTACTACTGGCGATGAGCTTGAAGACGTTATCAAGAGCTCATTGGAGCAGGATGATGTTTTTTCTGAGACCTTCCTCGGAACCATCCTCGTCAGCGCGGGTGATGAAGGGGATCTTGACTCTTCTGTCGTCAGCTACTTCAATAGCCTCAGCGCAACTGTCATCTATGGAGGAGAGGATGGCCCGAGTCTCTGCGGCAACTCTACCTTGACTCCCTGCCCAGTGTTTGGTCTTGCGAACGGCGATACCCTCAGCTTGAGCAAAGTCTTCCGCTTGTATGTCGATACCTACAGAACATTTATGGTTGGCACATACGAAGCGGGAGATGGCTATCGCACTTTACCTTACTCCAATTCAGAATGGGGCGCACCATCTATCCCCGTACCCTCGAGACTATACAGCATCGAAGATGACAGACCTCTCGCTGGAAAGCGTATTGGCGTCAAGGACATCTATGATCTCGAGGGCATACAGACAACAGCTGGCAGCTTAGCGTACGCCTCCCTTCACTCAAAGGCCGACACAACAGCTCCAGCCCTCCAGCGCATCCTTGACCAGGGCGGAGTTGTGGTCGGAAAGCAGAAAACAGCCCAGTTCGCCTCACCTCAAAGCCCTTGGGACTGGAACGACGCGTTCTACCCTCGCAATCCCCGCGGAGACACGTTCCTGACTTGCTCTGCGTCCTCAGCTGGAAGTGCCTGCTCTATCGCTGCGTACGACTGGCTTGACTTTGCCATCGGTACTGACACCGGCAAGTCTATCAGAGAACCTGCTGCAGTTGCTGGTATCTTCGGCAACAGGCCTTCACAGGGGATGATTTCCATGGACAACATTGTCACCAACGCTTTCAACACTGATACAGCTGGTGTCTTTGCACGCGACCCTGTTGTTTGGGCCAAGTTCGCAAAGGCTTGGTACGATCCTTCTCTTCACCAAGATACATCCGTCAATGGACTGCCTGAATTGTCAGTTCCCGATGTCCAGACATTCCCCAAACGCCTTCTGTACCCTACCGATCATCTGCCGATGCAGAACCCAGCTGCTGAAGCTATTCTGCAGAAGTTCCTGGATGATGTGACAGATGCTGTTGGTGTCACTGTCGACAAGATCAACTTGACGCAAACCATCGAGGGCACTCTGGACCGCCCTCTACAGGGCATGCTTGACGATCTTACCGTGCTTTGGACCCACGACTTGATCACTGAGACCGCCGATCCACTTATCTCCAATTATAGCCCCGGATTTCCTCCCATCGATGAGCCTTACCGCTCATTCTTCCGCAATGCAGTGGTAGACGATGCCAGCTACAAGTCTGCCATGGCAAACCGCACTCGCGATGCAGCCCTCTGGCACAAACAAGTTCTCTTCTCGACCAACAGCTCCTGCTCCGAGTCCATCCTGCTCTACGACATCGGCACAGGTGGCCTCCCATCCTTTCGCGAGAAGGACTTGAATGACTCCCCAGGAGCTGCATCCCCCGTCGACCCCCGAGGTCCCAAAGCGGTATCGACTATTTCATCTTACTTTGGGGACGTTGATATCACGGTCCCTATTGGGCAGGTTACTTACCAGAGCAATGTCACGTTCCAGGAGGAGGTTATGCCAGTCACTGTTAACATGGTTGCTAAGAGAGGATGCGACTTTGTGCTGTTCAACCTTATCAACAAGCTGGTTTCGAAAGGGGTCTTGGGCTCGGTGGATACCGGAAAGCAGCCTTTCCAGGAGTGAGCGGAAGTACATCTGCCACTATGGCATTGGAGAGTTAGCATATAGAATAGAATTTCCATTTCTCTCCATGATGTTGTTCCTTTAGTAGAACTATCCTTGTGAGCTTTTTGATCCAGAGCTGAGTCAACAACTATGAATTAGATAGCCTTAACTGCGCTAATTCCAAGCATTGGTCCCCTTGAAGTCTCACAGAATTTGAGGGACTCAAACTAGCCAGCAGGCAACGATACCTCTTTCTTTCTGCCGTATTGCCACCCGCTGGCACTCCCAATGTCCCGAACTCCCAAGCGGCATGCATGAACTGGTGCAAAGCCCATGCCACCCTCTATCTCGTAGACCCGCATTAGTTAGTATGCAAAGGTGAAAGATATTCCCGGCTCCAAAGACCTTCAAGGTCGGAATTGAGTCTTGCACGCTTCAGGCTCTTAGTCCGTCCCAGCCGAAGAAGGCTACAGGCTGTCAGGTCTGTGTTGATACAGCTCTTTATTCGCCTTGTTAGCACAAAATTAAGAATACTATGCCATGCTATAATATTGTTATAGGTTCTGGGGTATAGAGTATCGCCGTGATTGATAGAGCAGGTGGCGGCTCAGTTCGGTGAACAAACCTTGGCAGGTCTGTAGCTAGTGAGACAGAGATGGAAGGGCTCCCGAGTTGCGCAATCGTGATTTCGGATCGTACTAGAGGAAGTGATAGAGTGAGGGCAGTAAAATGGACTAACCTCGATGGAAGCCAGTTATAGAGCATCATATGACTCAACTTAGGTGATAAGGGGTTTTGTCCACCTTTCTAGAACTGGATGTTGAGGTTTCTTTATTTATATATATATTATTAAAATAATTTTGAAACAGGGCGAGGGATGTTAGCTCTCGCGTAATTAGTTAGTCCTCAGAAATGTTCCTATGACCGTCGGTAGAGAGAAACCTGCCCTACTCTCGAATCGATTTTGTGTTAATGGTGTGCGTAATGGGTCCCGAATCCCACCGAAGACCCTTGTTTGCTGAAAGCCATAATAGGTTTCTTGATATAGACCTAAAAAGAGGTCCATGGAGCAATTGAACATAGCCTCCTCGGCAGTTAAGACGACTGGGTATGCGAAACTTCTTAAGCTCTCTTTAAACAGCTCAGAAAGCAATGCACCTTGCGACACAGTTGCGACTGTACGATTACATAGCAAAAAGTGTTTTCTCAATACTAAATTTCGACATGATGCTTCATCAATAGGCGATACAGTCAATGCTTTTCCATCGCTTTTTGGCTGCCAGAAGGTTCAGCCAGAGTTACCATTTCAGGTTAGCTCTCGGCTCTTTATGGCCGTTCAATGCGCTATCTTCAACTGCCGACAGCGATGAGCCGAATCCCAGCGGAGCAGCTAACGCATTTTAGCCCAGCCCGAGAACCTTTCTCATTACTGTAATCTTGTTCCTTGATAAAAACTGGTTCAATAGTGAATTTAACAATTAATCGTACTGAAAATACTGAGAGTATGAATATATCTCATTAGGCAGCTGCTGAATGGTAAGGCATTTGTCGATCTTGGCCATGGTTGGTAGGAACGTCATTCTGGAACGCTGAGCCCAGACATAGAATGCGGCTCATTTTCCAGAACAATGGAAACATCGATTTGCCGTGCCATATGCGACCACAATGCATGGGCTGTACAGGCCACTGCCGAGCTAGTCACCAAGCTAGGGCAAGAACCTTTGCCAGTCTACCCAGAGAAGGCAATAAAGACAAGGTTTTAACGCATGACTTTACAGAATGACATATGTTTAAGGTTTGCTCTCAGGGCGCACTTGGGAAGATGCCAGTGCAAGGCCCTCTATAAACCCCTGTGTTTAAAATTAAGACTCCACTGGTACGCCGTTTTATCCGATATGTGGTTAAGCTTCAAGAAGGGGATTTTAAGCTTCTAGACATCTTAAAAATACGAGGAATTTAATAATAGTATAAAGTATCTTCTAATTGATTATATATCAAGAGAGCAGGTCCTCTAAATTGACTGTCATAATTCACGTCTGCTCTCCTCGCTCATTCTACTCTGCCGAACTGCCTCAAGATGGTCCACCAGTACTGGCTGTTAACGCTCCCCCTCCTGGTGCTGGATGCTGCACAAGGCGTCGTTGCAACTCATGGAAAGCACGCAAGGAAATCCAGCGGATCGCCTCCTGGACTGCATGTTCTGCCTCTGATTGCGGATAACTCCGATGACTACCACTCATGGATTGCTGAAGTCGCGGCTGGCACTCCCCCTCAGAAAATGAGGCTGAATCTAGACATAGCCAAATCGACAACATGTATGAGTTTCCTGTTCGACGTGGTCGTTGTCACTAACAATTCTAGGGTTCATCTCTGACAAGACCTACGCGGAATGTGATGGCTGCAAGAATGGATATTATCAGCTCAACAGGTCCAAGACCTCATCCCCGGTTTTAGGCCATACAGCAATTTCTTATGGCGATCCAACGACTTACCCGCCAAGCAACCTCACCTTTGATCTAGACTTCCACAAGGACACGGTTCAAATTGCCGGCGTTAGCATCCCCAAACAAATCTTTGGTCTTTTCAACCCGTACAAGGATGAGTTTTCTGGAATTGGTGGGCTTGCGCTTGGGCCCAATGTCGAACATGGTTATGCACCGGGCAAGATCTACAGCTCCTTCTTGGATAACCTCGTTACAAACAAAAAGATTGCCAGCCGCACTTACAGTATTGACCTTCACGAGCACGGATCAAAGCCAGGTAAGTCCTTCGGTTCTGCGTACAGACTATGACGCTAACCCTCTGCTGATAACAGCCTCAATTATTCTTGGGGGCATTGACACGGGTAAATTCAAGGGCAAGCTTGTAAAGAGACCGTTGGTTAAGGATGAACTTGGCACTTTTGGGTAAGTAACTCTCCTCGATCCTTGACAAGAATGTGATTTGACCTTGGATATTTAGACCTTCCATCGTTCTCACAGGCCTCAGCCAGACTGTTCCCAATGGAAAGAACAAGGCAGGCAAAGTGACCAGCTACCCAGTCCACAAGAACGACTCCGTCTTCCTTCTCGACAGCTCCAACCAGTACCTCCGATTCCGCCACTCCTTCGTCGATCCTCTCTACAAGACCCTCGGCGCAGTCAACAACGGACAAGACGCATACTTTGTGCCTTGCGAGAAGCGCAACATGCCCGGTAGCTGGGACTTTCAATTCGGCGACGTCACGATCAAGATCCCGTATAGCAAGATTATCACTGACCAGTCGGGTGATAAGGGTAAGACTTGCTGGGTCGGTGTTTTGACTACTTGGAAAGGACAGCTAGTCTTGGGACGTAAGTTGATCTTGGTTTCTGTAAAGGGTCTGTGAATACCTGCTGACACGTGAATAGAACCTTTCTTGGAAGCTGCCTATCTTGCCTTCGATCTTGACAACAAGCAGGTTGCACTGGCTCCACCAGCTAACTGTGGTGAAAAGCTAGTTGCATTCGGCTCCGGACCTAATGCTATTCCAAATCTGAAAGGTTGTTAAGATATAGATTCTGATGGCTACTGGAGATGGAGTAGTAGTGCTAGAGTGCTCGGTGCAGAGGAAATAGATCTGGGCGGTTCGATGTTCTTGATCTTGCCTTCACTCATAGATTCACTTCCAATAATCTAATTAACATTCTGCACGTCAAGTCAATTTAATAGTTGCGATTTATACCTCCATCTATTTCCAGAAGAAACATGGGTCATTTGATTATGTTCAACTGCCCATCAATGATAAGCCAGCATTTCATCCCTCGGGTCCTCCGGCTCCTCGCTGTCATAAGGCCTCGTATACATGGCTTTCCATGCCTGGTCGAGTACGGCAGCAGCACCAGCATTGGCTAACCGATCGCTGTCCCACATAATGTATCCCCAATGACGCAGGGGCCGTGGTATGAAGTCGCCAAAAAGATTGCTATATGACTCTTTCCAGAATATAACCCATGCTAATGGAGGCGAGTCATAAGTGTCGCCATTGAAGTTCATTTCCTCGCGGTCATCTTGAGCTTGGTCCTTGTCGGAGTGATGGTTCTCGCGTCTTTGCTCTTGGTAGAAAATTTCAGTGCTTTGAAACAGCAGGTCGTCCACGGCCGTAACGACCTCCTCCGAGACCACTTTAACCTTTTCCAGGTGGTCTTGTGCCTTGAAGACAAAAGACAAGACGGACAGTCCTCTATAGACTATGCCGTTTCTATGCCACTCTGAGGACACTGGAGGAGTCAACAACACATTTCCAGACGCATAGCCATGGTACTCACTATGGTCAACAAGGTGGAATGCGCCGGGCGGCGTATGTGGACCCGTCCTGACGGGATCGAATGACGGGTTATCTGGGTGTAAGTCCCATTGGACCTCCTGAAATACACTGTCATACTTGGCGTGCATAAAGGCATTGATGCACAACATTTCTTCAACCTCCCATGCTTCAAAGCCATCTAGAAAGACAGTAAGTCTTTCTTCCTCGCCGAGTAAGCTCTCCCCATGCCGGAAGCCCCTGTATCGTGCGGGCCCAAAGAGGTTACTGAATATTTGGAAGCGATATAAGCCACGAATGATGCGCCTCTCCTCTGTTTTGCTGATATCTTTCGGTGAGGAGAGAAGTTCCATATTTTCGCGAGTCCAGGAGACGTAGCGATGTATCAGTGGCCGAATGACAGTGGAATGAAAAGTGACGATGCTGAGGATCTCCTCCTCATTGGGGGGCTTGGTCAAGATATCTGTACTAAGCGAGCGATGTAACTTGTAATCATCGATGAGTAGCAATATCTTTTCCCGAGTACGCTTAAAACGAAATTCCCGAGCGTTGCACTGATCGGCAATATAGGCATCAATATAAACATTGCCTATCTCAAGCTGTAAGCAATGCCATAGCCAAAACGCTCGGTCTAGTCGGTACTGTTCACGAAAGATGGGAGACGCATGAACCAATGCTGAAAGGTCTGATAAGGAGTCTATAGCAAGTAAAAATCCGTTTCGGATCTCAAAGGGAAGTCGTTCAAAGTTGGAAAGAGAGGGGGTCTTGAGGCTAGCGGACGCAGCGGGCGTCGCAAGAGGAGGTATGTAAGCAGGACTCTGTTCTTCCTCTTGAACTTCCTCCTTTCTAGGATGTTTCCTCTGCAGAAGCCGTTTTAATCGCTGCATATCGGAAGATGCTCTCGAAAAGATAAGCTCTGCGCTGAACTAGAGGTCGCAAGCTTTATTGAGAATGAGTAAAAATGACTGCGGGTTGCCTCCTTGGGCTGTTCTTGTTGGCTGCTTACCTGTTGATGGATGCCACGTAGGTGTTTTCACTCGAGTCTGTTGGCTGTTTCTCAAACGGTCCACTGATTGACGAACAGAAGATTGATGTTGGGAGATGTTCACAGAACTGCCTGAAAAGCACATGAGAACCGTTCGAGATATCGCGCGGCTAAAGCGGGGCAAATCCATTCGGCCAATCGGATCGCGTCGCCTGGCGCTGGGAAGCGCTTATCACCAACAGTCACATCAACGAGGCAGTGCTAGGTAGTCTGTCACTTTCGGCTATGAGGCACAGCCGATGCATAAGGTCCAAGAGGTCTCCATATTGCCGAGCGCGTTTCTATGATCTTGGCAGTTCATGCATGTGACCTGGGCCGAGACGCGCGTCTAAACGCTGTCATTGAAGAATTCGGCCTTCCAGGTGCAACTCATATGATCATGCCGCCGAAGGTAACGGTCTGTTGGTCCAGAAAATAGAACAATGTGGCATTCAGCTGTTTTTAATAGCTCTTTCCAAGGTTTCTATCGGCTGGCTTTGGCCAAACCTGAAACTCGCGAGACCAGTTCCATCGACCATGTGTTCGACCAACATGCTGATGGTTTTTGATGTTGGAGGTCCTTGACATGTTGCAGATGAAAGCGATGAGAATGCGTTCAAATTATAAGAGAGCGGTCCATCTGCTTCTCAGCCCATAGAAGACAGAAATCATACAAACAACACATCATCATTCAATCTCATTGCCATTGTTCAAATCTTTATTCCGCGTAAAGCTATCGACGAGCCATTTGATATTACCTGCATCTTGTATCAATTCTTTTGATCAACTTATTCTCTATCAATTTTCTCAAAGTACTTGTTCTATTATCTCAATCATGTGCTACTCTTGCAACACCAAAGGATATTTCTCTAGCCGATGCAAAGACGGCAGGGGTCCTATAGTAGAAAGGCGAACGGACGAACTTGAGATGGCAAGGGTAAGTATTATACTACCATTGATTATATACTCTACATATCTGACTTGTTGCAGCCTGTGCAGAACTATAGGCCTGTAACCCCTGCTCACCCAGTGTCACGTCTTCCTAGCCACCTGGAGGCTCGAGCATCCTCCTCAATCCGCTCTGATGGAAGCTCCAGTAGGGCAAGCTTCAGGTAGGGTATATCAACTCAGCCTGTCTCCGCCCAGGCTCCCTAGAATCGGCCTGTGTCTAGTCGTGTTAGCTCCAGTCAGGGTACATCAAGCCAGGCGTTTTCCAGCCAGCCAGTTTCCAGCCGTGCTAGCTCCAGTCAGGCTAGCTACAGGCCACAGGCTCAAACTAACATTGAATACGAACCATCAATAATGTCTGTTGAGTCGCAGCAATCGCTTGTCAACGGCTTGATGTCTTTCAGATTCGAGATCAAAGACATGGGCGCCCGTATCGAGTACCTGATTGCTCTCAGGAAGCGGCTCTCCCATAAAGAGAAGAAGATCGATGATGAAGAGTATGAGCAGGCAATGAACACCCCGTCTATGATTGTGCTTTATGAGGCGTACAAGCAGGCGGCAGATCACGCTACCAACTGCAAACGCGCTGTTGATCAGAGAATGAGACAGTATAGCAACAAGTTCGTCCTTGCACCTCCAGAAGTCCAGATGGAGATTTATGGTTTGCAAGTGAAATGGATCCAAGCCACAATTAAGTAAGGAAGACCTTGAACCCACAAGATCATAAGATATTAGAGACTGACGAGATGGCTGTTCTAGTACTGCCGAGCAACGACTGGACTATCTACAGCACTACCCATTTGCCTACCAAAACAGAAACGCTATCCGGGGTCACATCACTGCAGCAGAGGATTCCATGAAAGCAGCTAAGAGAGCGCTGGGGGAGGTAGACAGGAACAAAAGGGGTAAGTTAAATAGAAGCTGTTTAGCGGCGATGTCATTCCTCTTTGCAGCATCAGATGATCTAACTGTTGTCTTAAGTTTTGTTTGCGAAGATGAGCAGGGAAGGCCCGTGGGTTTGATTAGGTAGTCTTGTGGTGATTATAGGTACTTGGAGGAAGAGGTGTCTTGTCTTGAATTTGTCGGAACCATGTTAGTGCTATCATGCTTAAATATATATCTCTCAATGCATAATGATATTCATGTTAGTGAAAACTCTCCCTTCTCTTTTCTTTAAAACTCCTTCCCCAATGCCCAGCCGAGATTTATATCAGCAACGTCTTACGAAACCTCTGATGAAGCCAGCAGCCTGTTTGAGAAAGGGAACCATCATGCTCTTGAGAACAGCATCGTCTTGGTGTATGGACTACATGACGTCACGTCCCAAGACTTTCATCGAGCATGCGAGATTGCGGCTGAGACTTTTGCAAAGAAGATCATGAACTGGCCGAACGGAAGATCCGAGAAGCCAGAGACCTTCAAAGTTGAGAGCCACGGTAGAAAACTGAGAGACTCCAACGATTGCTTTGGTCAATTTATTGACCGTCTGCGTGACGTCTTTGAAACGTCACCACCCAAAGACTTACCCGTCTACCCACGCGTTTGTTATTATGGACGGAAGCTGCTTGGAGAAGGATGCGACTGCTATGCTGGTTCTGGCTTATAAGCTGGAGGATGAATGGAGAGTTGGCCATTGCCATGTGCCCATTGAAGTTGTTCTTGGTTTGGCGGTTGAGAGCTTGAGATTGGGTGACGTGACGGAAACAGATATGCTTGATCAGTTTACGACTTAAATTGACTACAAATCATATGAATATTGTAATGATTGGTCCCTCATGGCGACTCTTGTATATCATCCAAGAAAGATCATCCATATCCAGGCCATTTAGAAGCGCCGTGCATCTCCTCATTCGCCCATCCCAGTTGTGAAGTATCTCAACATTCGCCCCATCAGCTCGTCGCCTCCTTCCTCGCTTTCTTGGCAAGAAGTTCATCTAGCTTTTCATGAGCAGATAGCAATGTCTCACCACTAGTACCAGTGTGATAAGGAGTATTTGTAGGTGCATCAGATACGCGAACGACATAGTTCTTGGGTTGATCATCGACGACCAGTCGCAGCAGATCAGGCCGTGAATAGTGACCCACGCAATCAGTCAAGGTCTTTGCGTAGTCAATCTTGTCCAGATCAATGTCGCAGTAGATAAGACCATCAAACAGAGGATCAGTAGGCTTGGTCAGTTGTCGGCCATCTGGACCAAAGACAGCTGCGGCACCACCACCTCCTGCGAGCATGAAACCGTCCTTGTCTGCGTTCCCTTGGCCCTCGCTGTTCAGCTTGGCACCTTCGGCGGACAGGGGCTGGTTTGTCACGAGGACGTAGACAGCGCCCTCTAGGGCATACATGCGACTGGCTGTGACCTCGTTGGCCTCTGAAAATACTGAGTAGGGCTCAACAGCTGATTCAGTCCATTTCGCATTGAACGGCCAGGCAGCGATATGTACTTGTTCACCTTGACAGTATGTGTGGTATTTGAGGAGTGGCTGAAGGTGTTCTAAGCATAATGATTAGTATGGCATTGTCTGACTGTACTATCGACTTACCCCAGCAGTTCAGCATGCCAATCTTTCCCAAAGGGGTATCCACTACAGTAGTAAGAGAGTCACCCGTGGAATCCCCAAAGATAGTCCTCTCAACATGCGTGGGCTTTGTCTTGCGACGATGAAGAAGGATGTTCCCGTCAGGACCAATGAGGACCTGCGCGAGATACAAAGAAGCTCCAACCCGTTCACTGAAACCAAAGCATACATAGATGTTGGAAGCTGCAGTAGCTTGGCGAATCTCAAGCATCTCGTCTCCATAGGCAGATATACTGTTTTGCATGTACTTTTGCACAAGGGGCATGTTCTCTCTGTATGTTCCTGACCATAGGAAATTGGGATAGCCTGGGAGCCAGACTTCAGAGAAAGCTATGAGAGAGGCCCCGTTCTGGCTGGCTTCGTTGATGAGACGGATTGTCTTTTTGACACCGGCGACTTTGTCAAACCAACATGGTTCGGCCTGGCAGATGGCGGCTTTCCATTGACGGATTGACATTTTGGTGAGAGTAGTGGAGATAGAGGAATATGTGTTGAGGTAGTACTTTGGATTCACCAATATTGAAGTATGTCTGGTATGTACTTATATACTCGTTGTCCCAATATCTATAACCTTCCCATATGGCAATACCTAACAGTGGACATGACCTGTATCCCCCATTTTCTCGGGTAAGCATTATCCAAAAGAACCATTACAGAGTTTCCTGTAGGTACTGCGCTACTCAGCAGCCTAGTGTTACCCCGCAGATTGGGAGGCGTTAGTGACATGCAGGGCCTGTAAGCACTGCTGATCGAGAACCGGCTAAGCATTATCCACCCAATCCCCTCACTGAGCTTGATCTTGGGGAACAACTCCAAAGGAGGTTGCGCATGTTCACATTGGTTATCTCAAGATTACCCGAAACACGGCATTATGGATCGCAGAGATAAGCAACGAGACCAAGTAGACTGAACCGCAATTACCAGTAGTATCGGCTGACCTCGGTACACGTTGCCTTGACTGGTTGATTGGCCTAATTGTTTGTCTTTCAATTCCTTTACTCAAGCGGCATCGCCCGGATATCCCGGTTCGGTGAACAGCGTGCCAATCCACCCCTGATAGTCCAAGCCGTCACTTGTCATAAATGGAATGTCCATGTCAAAACAATGGGGGCCTTCTGCGGCCCAAAGTGAACTATTAGAGTCACCCCCCTCAAGCCCTTGTGTTGTACTGCCGACAACATCTCCGGTGTCTTGGCCGCTTTCTCCTTTACTGATCCCAAGTGCACTGAATGCGTCTTCGCTAACTGACCATTCCCTCGCCAATTGACGAACTGCAACGAGGGCGCGCTGGCTCCAGGCCCAAGCAGTACTCATGTCAGTGAGCGCTTCGGCCAATATTTTGAGCGAAGCTATAGCGCGGTCACGGTCTTTTGTATCTGTAGACGTTGTTTCGAGGAGTAGGATAATTGATGCAGTAAAAGCACAGTGAATGGCTGAGATAGGTATCCGTCGCTGAGGTTTATCAGCATGAGAATATTAATTAGAGTGGAACGGCTACTTACTAAAGTGTAGTGTTTGCTGTAAAGCTTGAAAATATTACTGATGGAATGTGAAGACTGACTGCACTCCTTGAGATGACTTGATCCAGTGCTGGGATGAAAGCTACTGGGGTCCACTGTCTTTCGCTGTACTCCGACAAATGGTCGATGCAGTAAAATTATAGCAACATGGATCTGGAGACTTCGACGTAATTAGTACTCACAGCAATGAAATGTTCAATTTTGGGACTTACTGAAGTAAATAAATATGAGGTAGCGTGGGTGCCAGTGGTGATGGCGAAAGCCGAAGACAGCTCGGAAGGTTTATCTGGAACTCGATGATATTGACGTGCGTCTTGGTAACAAGCTCCATGATTCGAGACTTGGCGTGTTGGCTGCCAGGTCTATATCTTGGGAGATCTTAGTATCTAGAGACTTCGAGCAGCAAGATGACTTACATCTCATCCAATGCTGATGATGTGATCCTGAATAGCTGAACGGTCGCACGGACATTTGAGACTTGGTGACTCCGTGGGAAGACGATAGGTTCACCGATCGGTGACTCAGAATGCCAAGATTCGTACTCTGCACCATGTTCCATGGAAGGCAGCTTGGCAGATGTTTCGTGTTCTTGGATAGTGGATGGTCGACCAAGCCCAATATTGAATAGCCTCAAGTAGTCGTGTCAGCTGTAGAATTCTGCTATCAAGGGGTTAGAACAAGCCTACTTGTCTAAAACATAGCATCCCCACCAAACAATAGTTCCAACTTCGGCTTCGTCCTTGGTTATGTGTCCTGTATCAACCCAGTGGCTTCGGTCAAGATGAAGCCCGAGGTTGAAGGCCATCCTCGCTGCCATCCCTACAACTATTGTTAGTAGTCCAGACGCCTAGGAAATAACTATCCTACCGCAATACATCCACCCAAGAGCCTCTTTATCAGTAGCTATCTCCCGTAATCCAAGTAATGCTGTCGCCTGGACCGTCGTCACCTTTGGCGCCTGGCTCTCGTAAAACAAGATCATCTTGGCCTGCTCAGCCAATGCATTCCCCGCTGTATTCTGGTCAAGGGCATCGGTTCGTAGTTCAATTCGATCTGAATACCGAGCTGCAAGGGCCAATACTGCAGAAAGTAATAAAGGTGAAGCATATCGTCCAGTATGCGTGATGTAGAGATCTTCAAGGAATAGTTCTTTGACGACGAGATACTGCCATGTATTCTGCCAACTCCAAAACAGGTCCAAGAGATGGTTCCGCAGCTCGTCGGATACCTCGACTCGAAGATTTAGTTGGTCTAGTGTGTCCGCAGCCTGCTTTTGTAAGTCACGCGATGACACTGTTGAACTTGCCACAGGGCTATTCTTCAGAAGGGAAAAGTTACTCCTGGAGCCAAAGTAGTGGATTTGCCCATCTTCACCAATGTTGAGAGCTCCAAGTCGGTCGCTTATATCCTTGATTGGAGACCTGTAGCTGGAATCGTCAGGAAGAGAATCGCCCTCAGAATTACTGTAACTATCTTCAATAGAGCTCGATGGAGGTCTTTCCTGAAGTCCAGCATTATTTTGAAACCGCTCGATTTGTGCTTCCAAAGTTCTGATCCTCTCTTGGAGTGCCTCGACGTAACGTTTGCTTGGGGGTCTGCAATAACAGTCAGTCAGATGTTTATTGGTTCTTACTTCAGAATTCGACATCAATGGGCAGACTTGTTTACTTTCTATTACTGTCCTGGGTCGCGTATTCGCAGACCTCCCCGGCGGTATTACACGTTGAGCATGAGGGACGTTGGCCATCGCACTATATCCGTTCTTAGTGTCAATAATTCACTTCTGCCAATTAAATGTGAGCCTACCTTGACCCGCTTCGTGCGACATGCACTGCAAGCTAAAGCTGACCTCTGCCTCGGCTTTCCAGACACCGTCACTTGAGATCTCATGGTACGGACATTGGCAGGAATGGACAGATTGTCGAACAGATGATAGACATTGAAGCGGGGTTATAGGCCACACGTGATGCATTTTCGTCTCTCCCTTATCTAGTCTTGCGCCTCGCTAAAGCTAGTATCCGTCCGGCACTAAGAATGGGACGGCTATGCGATGGCATCTCACCCGTATCTACATCGATTATGCAAGGTCCAAGGTAATGACTTGGTAAAATGTGAAAGCTTCAGATTATTCTCACTATGAATTAAGGGGCTTCTGGAAGATTTTTGGGAGGCGTGTCGGTAATGGACTGAGGGAGGCAAGGCTATATAAAGCCGGTACAGCCGTGCAGCCACAATCTATAAACACAATACACCTATCGGTGAATAGGTGGTTCCAACATTTGACTACCGAATTGCTTTTGGATAGGTCATCAATGACGAAGCAACAATGCTGGTTAAGCATTACCCAGGTCTTCAAATCACCAAGGGCGACCCCATGATAAGCTTCATCCCCGCATCCTAGCGTAGCCAAGAGCGGAGTCCATCTCGAGCGGCACTTCACCTCGTCACTGGGAGCTGATTGGCTGTCGCTATCCGGGTAGGCATTATCCAGCGCTGTTATCTAGCCTTGACCACTTACGGAATAGTACGACAAGCGAGTTAGATAGCCTCCTTCAACGAACCACCGTATTACCTAGCTCAGGTTGCAATAGTCTATCATTAGACAAGCCATGGCAGTGGTACGAGTATTTGAACCTTCCAATGCGCCCATGAGATCCAGATATCACCACCTTTTACAGCAATTAGCTTCTAGTACGACAGCATGGCACTCATCAAGTTTCGCGGCAAGCCACTTAGTGGCTACAACATTCTCGTACGTGTCACTCCATTTCTGTTACTAGACGAAACCTAATCTATGTACCAACAGATCATTGCCTTTGCGACTTTTGGGAGCATTACCTACGGATACTGTTCCGCCATCATAGGATCAACCCTCGGCCAGCCATCCTTTCTCCATTACTTCGGTCTCGATACAGCCAGCAATGCAGCTGCTCTCACCGGCGCAATCAACGGGCTCTTCCAGGGCGGCGGCCTCATCGGCACCTTGAGCTTTGGAGCTGTCGCTGACAAGTTCGGTCGATGCAAGGCCATGTTCCTGGCAAGCCTAATCGCTATTATTGGTGGTGGGCTTCAGGCTGGCTCTGTCCACTTGGCAATGTATCTCGTCGCAAGATTTCTTACAGGCCTCGCTATCGGCGGACTCGTCATGCTTGTGCCGCTTTGGCAGAGTGAAGTTGCGCCTCCTCATGCTCGTGGCCTCCTCGTTGGTCTTCACGGTGTTTCGATCTTGGTCGGATACTCATCGTCAGCTTGGGTCGGGTTCGGCTTCTACTTCGTCAATGCAGACGGGGCTCAGTGGCGTCCTCCTCTGGCTATACAGTGCTTACCTCCTCTGATCCTGGCATGCGGTGTCTACTTCATTCCTGAGTCTCCACGATGGCTCATCGACAACGATCAGCATGAGAGAGCCGAAGCTGTTTTGCAGCGCATCTACAGAGATCCAAGCGATCCTGACAACCATGCGGCCAAGGCAGAGTTTGCTCAGATTCGCGCTCAGGTAGAGCTTGAGCGTCACTTGCCATCTTCTTGGGCTTCACTCTTCACCGTGCCCCATTATCGGAAGCGGGCTCTGATTGGTTTCACCACTCTTCTTGCTGGCCAGCTAACAGGGACGTCTGTCATCAACAATTATGGACCTTCACTGTATGCGGCTCTTGGACATGGTGCTTCTGCTAGTCTCGCACTCTCGGCTGGATGGTTGACCGAAGGACTAGTCTGCAACGCTATCAATGCCGTCCTTCTTGACTACGTCGGAAGAAAATGGCTGATGGTCACGGGCCTCATTGGCTGCGCCATCTCACTTCTTGGTGTGAGCATTATGGTCGCTCTCTATGGAGGCACAACTAATAAAGGCGGCAACTCCGCCGGTGTCTTCTTCTTGTATCTGCACCTCACCTTCTATGCCACCTGCATGGATGCTTCGACTTATGTCTACGGTTCTGAGATCTGGCCTACTCATCTTCGAGGAAAAGGATTTGCGATATCCTGTGCTGGTCTTTTTGTTGGTTCTCTCACTCTTCTCGAGGCTGCGCCTACGGCTTTTGAAACCATTGGTTGGAGGTTTTATCTCATCATGATGGCATTCACAATCATTTGCGCGATTATCTTCGCCCTGTTCTTCCCTGAGACTAAGGGAATGACCTTGGAGGAGATCTCAGCTCTCTTTGATGATGAAGTTGCTATTGAGGCCTCGAGTGATACTAAGACTTTGTCTATTACCAGCGAGAAGGAAAAGGTAAAGACTGAGGCTTAAATATACCGGAATCTCTTCTATATTGTGTCTGGGCTCGAGATATATTTCATTTCGATAACGTTAGTCTTTAGTTTATTGATATGAGTTGAACATATTTACGTTACCCAATAACTATGTGCAATTGAGGCCCGCATATCGTGACCATTGGAAGGTATTTCTCGCACTGCAGCTAGCGCGGATCTACATATTACCGCCGTAGTGAGCTGTTGGTGGAGATGCGACACTTCACCTGCCAATGTAAGACTGCGCACGTCTGATCTTCAATCGTGTTCTCACGGATAAATCACCGACTGGTTGATTAATCCACTTCCGGTGTAACCCCCATAGTCAGAACATAAGTTGTAGGTTCCCCGCATCGACTGCCCAACGTTCTTCAGAGGAGACACCTCATTCACTACTCTCAGCAAATATCTTTTCTCTCGCAGTAATAATGGTGCGTCAAATCCACTTGGATAAAGGTTGGAAATTCAAGCAAGTCAGTTCTCTCAACGATGGCACTGCTTCATCCTTCCTACCTGTCGCCCAGTTCCCAACTGTCGCTCATATTGATCTTTTGCATCATGAGTTGATTCCTGATCCCTATATTGACATCAACGAACTGAAGTGTCTTTGGGTCAATGATGCTGACTGGACATATCGTACCGAGGAGATCTCTCCAGTCGGTCTGAGATCAACTGAAAAGGTTGAACTTGTGTTCGATGGCCTTGATACGGTGGTTGACGTATATCTGAACGATTCGCATATCTTGTTCAGCAACAATATGCACAGGTCTCATCGTATCGATGTCACCGACATGCTGAAGGGTAGAGAAAAGCCCTCTACTCTTGAGCTCAGATTCAGAGCTGCTCCAGCATATGGCCGTTCGGAACGCGAGCGTATTGGATACAAAACGCTCCAGGAAGGAAGAGGCGTCAGCTTTGGCGGGTCGGAGAGACTCTTCGTAAGAAAGGCTCAGTACCACTGGGGCTGGGACTGGGGACCATGCGTTAACACTAGTGGTCCCTGGAAACCTATATACTTGGAGGTCTACGAGTCACGCATCTGTGATCTCAAGGTCACCCAGGATGTTGCCCCGGATCTCTCCTCTGTCGACATCAAAGTCGAGGCCCAATTGGAGGGTCACGACGGTATAAATGAGGTTCAAGTTCAGTTACTGGACGTTGAAACAGGAGCCATCGTTGTTGATGATAAAGCATCAAAATCGACCAAAGGCGCTCTATCATTTACGGTCAAGCTCAACAAACCAAAGCTATGGTACCCATTCTTGTATGGAGAGCAGAACCTCTATCTCCTCCAAGTCAGCATTCCCAATCACACTGTGAGCAAGAAGTTGGGCATCAGACGGCTTCGCTTACTGCAAAATCCGCTCAAAGACCAACCAGGCACTTCATTCGTCTTTGAAGTCAACAATATTCGTCTCTTCAGTGGAGGCTCATGCTGGATCCCCGCGGACTTCATGCTACCCAGAGTGTCAAGAAGTACCTACGAGAAATGGATCACTCTTGCCAAAGCAGGAAACCAGTCCATGATTCGTGTCTGGGGCGGTGGGATCGTGGAGAGCGATGACTTTTATGACATCTGCGATCGAGAAGGCATCATGGTTTGGCAAGACTTCCTATTTGCATGCGGCAACTACCCAGCCTCGCCGGATTTTGTCGCCAATTCCAAGATCGAAGCGGAGCAACACTTGCAGCGTGTTGGCCACCATCCCTCTCTCGCCTTGTGGTGCGGAAACAACGAGGATTACATGTGCGCGGATGGAGATCGGTGCTGGGATGTTGACTACAGTGACACGACTGGTCCATGGGACAAGACCACGTTTCCAGCACGTGAGATCTACGAACGCACTCTCCCTTCCGTCATCAAAGCATCAGGCACTGATGTCCCATATTGGATTAGCTCTCCTTACGGCGGAAGCTTCTCCAACGACACAACCGTTGGTGACACGCACTGCTGGGATGTATGGCATGGCCAGATGTCACCATACCAGGACTACAAGGCCTACATGTCTCGCTTCATTTCAGAATTCGGCTTCGAGTCAGCTCCCAGTCTCCAGACTCTCCACCGAGCCATCACTTCTCCCCAAGAGCGCCATGCACAGTCGAGGACCTTTGACGTCCACGATAAAGGCCCTGGTCATCAGAGACGCTACCCGATGTATATGGGCGAGAACTACCGCTTTCGCATGAATCCACTCAGGGACTTTGTGTACTGCACGCAGTTCCTTCAGGCGGAAGCTATGGCGTATGCTTATAACTGTTGGCGACGTGAGTTCCGAGGTCCTGGAGAGGAGAACTGTGGTGGTGTCTTGGTCTGGCAGCTGAATGACATCTGGCCTGGTATCAGCTGGGCACTAGTCGATGTAGACATGAATCCCAAACCTGCTTACTACATTACTAAGCGAGCGCTCGACAAGATGGTTGTTGGGATGGAACGAGTCGTCACAGAGAAGCCGCCTTATATCACCACTGGTTATCTCGATAAGAAGCATAAGGTGGACGTTTGGGCTGTCAACGATCATCTCGATGATATGAAAGTCAACCTAGAGGTCAAGGCATTTGATGTCCAAAGCGGGAAGCCAGTTGAATGGAAGGGTTCAGTCGCCTCAAAGGAAAATGTTCTGAAAGGCAACCGCTCAACTGAGCTTCTGGCTGGGCTTGACATTCCGAACCCCGATGAGACGGTCTTGGTAGCATATGTACGAGACGTCTCATCTGGAGAACAATTAGCCAGATGGGTGAGCTGGCCGGAGCCTCTCAAGTATGTGCACATGTCTTCTGATCTAAAGGTCACTACGGAGATAGTGGATGGTGGATCAGCAGTCCTTGTGAGAGCTAATACACCAGCCAAAGGAGTTGTGTTGAGTGCATCCGACAGTGATGGTAAAAGTCTGGTCTTTGACAACAATTTTATTGATCTGGTGCCAGATGAGGATGTGAGAGTTGGGGTAGCTGGCCTGCTTGGGGATCGTGTTGATGTTAGGTTTCTTTATGACTGGGAACTCGAACCGGGATTTCAGCTGTGATATGATGTCGTTGGAGTATGTTACTGGGCACTTATCATATCACATCACCAGTCGTTATTGGCGTTTAGTAGATAGCTGAAGTTATAAAAAGTCTTATAGTCCAGATTGAAACTGGCTTGGCAGATTGTGAGTCAGTCTTTGCCCCCAAGAGTCGGTGAAACAATGCATCTTTATTACAATGCATGCTCAGGTAGCCACAATTCGGTCTAGACTGGCTGCAATGAACTCAGGAATTGACCTTTCCGTCCCGACTCCACATAAGCCATACAGCTATTCGTCTAAAACTGTAGATATGGATTATTATAGGCAGGTCTAGAACACGTCGAGTGAGACAGTGCAAGGTCTTTTAGTGAGAAAGATTATTCTTATTCGCTGATGGGTTCAGCGAATAAGAACCAAGTTGGGCTGGCTACTGAGTATCCACTACCCATAGTACTCGAGGTCCCAGCCTAGGTCTAGACCTGGGCCGCAGCTTACTACCTGTACTTATGTTTCAGTTGATACGAGGACAAAGGCTAAGGAGCTAATAAAATATGCATAATTACAATAGGCTGGGCAATAGTGTGTATTATTACCCCGCTTTGAAGTTCAGCTTCAACTGGAAAAGCCATCGCCTAAAGCTAAGTGGTGACACGCCGACATTTATCTCACCGAGTGGCGAGAGGTTGAGGGCATCAAATCAATCAAGAAGCCAACTGCGTTACTAAACTCAGTATGGGTACACTGTGGTCTCGGCCTACACAGCCATCAGGCATCTTGAGTCCACAGGCTGTTCGAGACCAAATGTGCAACCCAAGAGGATTGACCTGATTCAGCAGTTAAGATGCCGATAGACCACGCCACGCTGCACTCGCCCATACTTGTAATCCTACAATACTGCGAATAGACCTTTATAATAATATATTTAGCCACCGAGCTTTAGTCACTTTATCTAGCTACACGCCCTAGTAGGTAAAGTATCTATATATATTTAGCAGCAGTCACGGTTAACTGCTTGACCAGACCTCAGCATTTGCCATCCTACTTCCAATCCTGTCAAGAAACCTACTCATCTTTCACTTTGTCCAACGCTTACAAGCAGTCATGGCGGCAGCCGCTTTTCAAGCCGCCGGCACTATCGCCAAAATCGCCATCAGTTTCATCGAAAAGGACCGGGCAGACTCAGCCGCCCAAGATCGCCAAAACCAGATCATGGGCGCGCTAAACGGCATACAAAATACTCTCCAGTCCATGCAGGTTCAACAGGAGAACCTGGCGGATATCGGGATGCTCTACTCTTCTCTCACATTAATTGAGGCCTGGAAAAATGAGTATCCCACTGCAGTCCAGAACCGTGATACCGACCAGATTAACAGCTATCTCCAAGCCTTCAACATCAAGGGTGAAGGAGGTGCTGGGTATATTGTCCAGAATATCTTCAGTGTTTTAACAGGGCAGGGGCAAACCACTCCTGGACAGTCTGGAGCAACCCCTCTAGTTCAAGTATGGCATGATCAAAGCTATGACAAGATGTACACTCCAGATACCAATGGACAGTTTACATTTACTCTTAAGAACTACCTGGATGACTTGGACCAGGTCCTCGGGTGGGTGCTCGGCGAGGCGGGGTTTGCTTTAATATGTCAGATAATCGCCTTACAAGGTCAGTCAACTTCTCTAATCTTACAAAAGGCGTATCACTCAGCTGACCCAAAAATAATAGACCTTGCGCATAAGACTACAGCCCCCGAGGAGATCGAAAATGAAGTTGAGCAGATTACGAACCAATTCACTGCCAACGCAAACGATGTCCTTGATGCAGTGTATTGACTATTTCCGCCATTTGTTAAGAAATTCAAGCTCAACTACCAGGACGAAGGGTCGAACCTGACGAATTGGTTCAGGATGTGGCGTACCAATTCACACGTCAAGAACTATAACCCTATAGCAGGTGGGCCGAACCCATTGGTGGGCATTGGTGACCCTAGACTAGGGGAACCAACTCCACTCGAATTAATTAAAGGTTACGCACCTAGGCTAGTCTTCGATGTCTACCCTGCGGCATGTGACGAAGCGGAAGGTATCTACCCTGAGGTAGAGTTCAGATTTGACGAGACAGACCACCCGTTGAAGGGTCTTGCCACAATTTACTCCCGAGCTGGTGGTCTCCCTCTTCTCATGTACAACGTTGAAGGGCGGCAAGGCTTGACGACGACAACGGATCCAAATGCAACAGCTGCACCGGCCTATTTCAGCCAAGTTTCACCGATTTCCTTTAATGTATTGCCCGTGAGCACGCAGTATTCACAGACTGATGCTCCTGCATTCGTCCTTGTATTGAGTCAAGGTATTGACACTCGGGGATGGGCTTGGGATGTCGGAAGCGCTTCACCTCTGGCGTACTGGATCTTGCGCGACGATGGAGCTCTGCAGACTACATGGGTGAGAACATTGGGTAGCCCGGCGGTGCCACCTGGCCAGCAGTCATCAGCGGCGACTGGACCTAATCCTGTAGATAACGGGCAGCACCCATCGCATTGGTTGGTAGATAACTGAGTTCAATATAGTGATGTGAGTTCTCAGCTGCAAGCCTGAATAGAAAAATCCATCTGGCTCGCAACTTCGACATTATGACACAATGCCTAGCCAACTATCCCATTTCGCACCTTGTCAATTATTTGGTTTAAATCTATTATTATGGTTGGGGACATCTAGACACCGGGTTCTAGTGTGAATGGAGTCTCATTGACTCGAATCAGCATCCGACTGACCAGAAGCCACTAGCGACATCAGGAATTCACACCAGAATGAGGCAAGAGATAACAAAACTTAGCTTAAATCTTAATTTAGCGAGGCCAGTAACGGGTAAGCAGATAGAGAGATGCTTAAATTCTTGGCTTTATGTCGCACATTTCACCTAATCACCTGAACAACAAAGTCTAGTTCTACGCTCTCCTTCCCCCTTCTTCTATCAGCAACCAGCCCTGGTCCCTGGAGCAACATCAAACTATTGACCCACTAAACACCTTCATTCAAAGCTGCTTGAACTATCACTGCGCGGTTTCACAGACCACTGAGAGAGTCCATCTCTGACAACTTAGGCAGAGCGAGTTCCAGTGGGCTGGCCAGCAGGAGGGGTTCCACTGCCCGAAGGAGGCTCACCTCCCTGGCCGCCGCCACCGCCTCCACCAATACCACTGTCCAAAGCATGACCACCATCGCTAGCCAAGTATCCAGCAACGCCGTAGTACTCATCCGAGGTATAGTCCGCAGTAGTGTTGATACCAATCTGAATCCAAGCAAAGATTCCATCCTTGACAGAGTCTCCCAGGTAGACGTACTGAGGGAAAGGGTCATAAGACTCATCGGCCTGGAGGACAGACCACATATCCTCCTCGTTGGTGGTCACTTCAACAGTGTTGGTGTTGTAGGGGGCAAGAGCTTCAACTTCCTCACGAAGATCCTCAGGCCAGAAAAGCTGTCCGATGTGCTGAACAGGGCTGTTGTAGACCTGAATAGTGCCGTTGGAAGAGACCGATGCATTGGCGTGAGTGAGGAGATGAGTATGGGTAGCACGTCCCTCATAGTGACCAGGGAAAATAGTCTCAAACTGAACAACACCATCGTGGTCGGTGATCTGAATACCGCGAAGGAAAGTGGTGTTCAGACCGGCTTGGGAGCTAACGCCGGAGTAAACACCAGTGGCATTGCAGTTCCAGACATCAGTAGCCAAGTTGGGGACTCCATTGCAGGTAGAGACATCGACGTATTGGACTTCGAGGAACAGAGGGACACCGTCACAGAACTCGGTTTCGATGACGTTGGATCGTAGATATTCGCCGACGATGTAGTAAGGACCGGCAGTGATCTCGGGAGAAAGGATACAGCTGGAGTTGGCGCCAAAGACTGTCTCGAGAGGAGTGAACATGTTGTTGTCCGAGACTCCAGTCTTGTTGTGGTTGACAGCCTCCCACTTGACAATATCGTCCTCATCGCGGCGATGCTTCTTAGCGGCTATTGCAAGATATCAGTACCATATAGAAAGTTGAAAAGGGATTTAAAGCATACCACTCTTGATACCAAGTCTCTTGCGGAGCTGCTCGACCTTCTCAGCTCGGCGAGCAATCGAACGAGCCTTCAACTCCCGAGCATGCAAAGAACCAGAACACTGGTTCAAGGACCTCTGGCCCAAGTTGGCGATAGTATCACGGGTCTGAATCTGTCTCTTAATCTTCTGATGATCATGCTTCTCACCAGGATGAGCAGAAACAAGACCAGCGAGAACGAAACCCGCTGAAGCGAGGGACTTGAAAGAAACCATGTTGAGTAAGGATTGATGAGTGAGAAGGTTGTAAAGAAGCATAATGAGAAGCGATTGAGTTGTCTTTTATATATAATACAGTCCCTCGGATTGGTGGCTCGGAGAATTTACAAGCTTGCACGTCTGTTACGCAATGCCGATTCGAGTGGATCGTCCGCCTCAGCCTTGGTGGCGGCATAATGAATGAAGCATTCGCGTTCTCCCACAACCCGAGAATTATGTGGAGTTTTCGGCTTTTTAGAAGGTTTCGGGAGCTAACGTAACCAAGATTAGGCATGCGCCACGGAAACATGTGGGGGAGGTGATCCGAAATTCAGAGGCTGTTACTGGTTGCGATGCGAATGCGCGGCCATCGGAATTAATGCGGTTTTGGTCCGTGGCCTGTAGATCCCTGACATTGTTTGAGAGTGAAGGGTTTGTTATTCTATTTCTAAGAGTTACGTAGCGGTGAGACTAATTCTCGCCATGAGCGCACTTGAAAGCCTCTATCATGCGCTGAGCCCCATCATCAGCGTACATCATATCTTCCATGTCAATGCTACTCTGGATATGCTCCAATGCTCTCGGTCGCATCTCCTTTTCATAAGCAGTAATAGCGCGCTCCAAAGCTTCTGCATCAGCCTTCTGATCATAGGCACCTCCAGCAGCCGCAGTCTCAGCAATGATTTGGTCAAATAGTACGAGCGCGTCATACATGGCTTGGTTCACGCCTTCGCCATTTGGAGTCGCGAGATGCGCGGCGTCTCCGAGGAGAACAACTCCCGGAACGCGTTTCCATCTGAGTCCACTACCGTATGCGTCTTCATTATTAGAAGAGAAGAGGGTCTTGTCGAGGCGATAAAGTGGCCAGGGTCGCCAGGGTCCCTCAGAAGCTTCGATTAAACGTTTCAAATCTTGTGTCCAATTATCGTAGAAGCCTCCAGGTCCGAGCATTGTTTTTCGCGCTTTGTCCATATCATTTGGATCAGCATCACCACCGGGACGCGTCAAGGATTCAGGTGCCACCACGCCCATGTATATCCGGTATGAGGCATCGGATAACTGTTGGACTGCGAGGGTGGATTTAGCACTCATTGCCATTGCTGTTCCTTTGCCTGCTATCTCTTGCGCGAATTTGTATTGTGAGTTGCCAGGGGATATTCTGCCTTCAATGAATGATTTGCCAGAATAGATAGGTTTAGCGTCAGTGACCTGTGCACAACGTTAGCTCGTGAGTTTGAGGAGTTTAGGTCGTTGATACTCACAACAGATCGCACTTTGCTCCAAGCACCGTCTGCTCCGACAATGAGTCGAAAGCCACTCTCGCTCGATCCATCGCGAAACTTGAGAGTCAAATCACGCGTTTCTCTGTTTTCTTTCTGATCAACGGTATCCAAAACCTTGCCCCAGCGAATACGCTCAGTTGGTAAAGAGTTGAGTAACAACTGTCGTAGCTGCTGACGATCAATCTCTGGTCTGTCTCCGCCGTCATCATCTCCAAACGAAGCACTGAACTTCCCTTGAAAGTCCATCAAGGTCATTGTCGTTGCATCGTATCGAGCTAATGACTTGAATTGGTCGTGAAGACCCGCGCGACGAAGCGCTTCTTGACCTGAATCTCTGTGGATGTCTAGCGTACCTCCTTGGCTTCTGAGGGTTGACGTTGGAGATTCGTCGCGCTCAAAAACGACGTAATTAATGCTTGCGGTTTGAAGCAGACGTGCTAGCATGAGGCCGCATGGGCCACCGCCGATGATTGCGATTGGTGGAACAGTTGAGATTCCCATGTTTGAGTATTTAAAGGCGTGGCGGGACCGAAAAGTGGTAGAGTTAACTCGAGCTGTTTACATAAATGGGCTCAAGAGATCTTTTATAATTGAGTATCGGGCAAATACTGCGTAGCGAAAAATATAGTTTGCTACCTTGCGATCCTCTATACGCGGTCTCACTTTATGAATGTAATTGGTTAGACAGGTACTCATTTCATCGTTCGGGCGTGAGTAAAACCCGAGGGGTCTTACGCGATGATGTCACGATCTGATTTTTGGCGTTGGTTCGGGATTTCCTAAGTCCCGAGCTGCAAATGTAAGTCTGGGCTAATAATCACGACAAGAGCTTATCATTGTCAGTTAGCTGATAAGAGAAAACTGCCTTTAATCTTACTTTTCTTGAAGCTTTACTCTCTTTATAGTTGTTATATCTTTTCACGATGTAACTTGCGAAAAGTGATTAGTTTACCCTACAGAGCGAGCATTGGACGCGAAACATAGCCACGAACGCGTGAACAAGCGAAACAAAGCCACAGAGATAAGATAACAAGCCACTGTCCGCCAAACACCGCAAGCAATATTCTATTATCAGAATGGAACGACCTTCAATTGACCAATTAATTATAATATCTAGTGCACAGAGCATGGGACAAGTGTAGCACAGCTTAAAACACTTTTATAGAAGAGAACAATAGATACTCTCACGATAGAGAAGTAGCAAGCTAAGTCGCTGTAGAACCACGTAAAAATATTGTCCTTCCTTAGTTCTTGATCTCAATCACCTCGCTCCTCGTCTCATGCTTTGGGGAGCGATCCACAAGTGGCTTCAAGCCTGGTAGCGCGACAACAGTAATAGCAAGCGCCATCTCAAGCATACTCATGGGGTCTAGAAAAGGATGTTAGATGCTGAGTTGGCATTGTTTCAAGGGAGGACGACTTACAAACAAGATTCTCTTGGCCAGTGCCAACCTTGAGAGTGACAAATCGCACAATGGTGATGCAGATAGTCAGAGCTCCAAGGACAAAGGTAGCAGTGACACCCTTGGAAGGCTGGAGAACACCCTGGACCAGCAGGATGAGAGGGAGGGCGTAGACTGTGGATTACTTAGTATCTGGTGAAACGCGACAGGAAGAAGGGAATGTAAACATACCAGCAAGATAACAGGCCAAGTTCAGTGTAAAGTTAAGAATGAAGGGCTCTGGTGCATAAAAGACACTGCAGGCACCCTCCTCCTGAGACCATTGAACCGAAACATCCTTTCCACAGAAGAAAGTATCATCCCAAAGGATCGCCATGTATGATGCACAAACAAAAGCAGTGATGCCATATAGAGCCTTTCGCATACCGGAACTCATGCCGGTGGAGGGGAGAAAGTAGGCCCAGTAGAACGCGAGCATGCTCATCTTGGGGAAGCCCATACCGACATCGTAAAAGTAGTTGGATGCGAATGAGATCTGGATGAAGAAGTCAGTCGTGTGATGCATTGTGGAGTTTGAATTCTCTTACCTTGGAGAGCTTGACAGACGTCTCATACTCATCCATGACACCCATCTGGAAGGTCAGAGTATCACAGATGATGAGGGCGAGAGCATCGACGGCGGATAGAAGGAGCAGGTAATCGGACCAAGTCAACTTCTCACGCGCACGGAAGAGACGCGCATAGATTCGAAGACCGACGAAGACATAAGAGGCTGCCAGCAAGATCCATTCCGAGATCTAAACACATGTGAGCACACAACCTAGCATACAGATGAATAACTGAAGTAACCTACCATGCAGTCCTTTCCATCAATGAAAAACGCCATTGTGAAATCCGATTGTTTTCCACCTCAAAAACAACGGGAAATAAAATGGTGCAACTCGCGGCAATGAGAAAAAGAAAAGGAATTAAGGTTCACAAGACTGCAGGTATACTTTAAAAATTTCCCAGTTCATGATGCTTACCTTATTTAATGCGCCGCATGGTTACAGCAGAAGCGGCACCTCGGCTACAGAAGAAAAAAAGAAAGACAGCATCGAACGAGGTTCTGCATAGAATGCAACAGTAAAAGGTCCCTGGGGTGAGTTTTACCCGCTGCAGCTCTACGGCACAACTCGGGCTAGGGAACAGAACGAGCAGCTTTAAGGGATTTTAATTCAGAGAGTGACGGGGGTTGGTATTTGACATGGGGGCTAAGACTGGAGGGGTTGTAACCGAGAGGTAGTCATTGGTCGGGTTGGGGTTCCGTTGATATGCAGACGAGAATAAACCTGGGACCAACGGATGTAACATGGGAAAGGATTTGACAGGGGACGAGTGGTTGAGACGATGTGTGTGTTGGTTGATCTGAGTTTTGTGTATTGTAATGGAGGGAGGGAGTCCTTTTTTTTTTTTTGACGCACCAATAAGGGATTCATCATATCTGTCAGTTGTTTCAAGGTTCTCACTACGTTTTAACAAAACTATGCGGTGAACTCAGAGCGAAAGTTAAGAATTAATGCATGATGATCTGATCTATGGTAAACTTGTGTATTCTATTTGTATATTTATTATACATAACTTGGGCCAGTCAGACCAGCTGTCATGTCACTCTTTATTCCCGGCCATTTCCCATTTTGTTGATCCATCCACCTGCATATCTAATGCAACGCTTACATCCATCCATCCACCTCTATCATCTTATCTTACAGCACACACACACTCCTTCATCCCCGTCCCGAATTACCCTGCCAGTCACCGTCTTCTCTTCGCTGGTAGGTCACACTTATGCGGGCCGACTTGTAGATACCTTGAAGGTTGGTCAGCTCCACTTCACTGCCGGAGTCTTCTTCGGCGCCCGCCGCCACGCGTGCCGTGGAGGCGTACAGTTCTCTGTGGTGATGGTCACGGCCGCTGGACAGCTTGTTGAAGTGACTCGATGTCGTCACTGTACCTGAGTGTTTGTTGTAGCCTGAGCCTGTCTGCGTGGTGTTTTGCTTCGAGGAGCGGAGGCCGAGGCCGTGGAGGAGGGATTTGAGGGCGGGAAGGGATACGACGACTATGGCGGCGGCGATCTCTGTCATTGAGAGGACGTCTGAGACGGCTGTTAGAAGGTGGTCTCTTAGAAGTGTTGAGATAGAGGGCTTGACTCACAGACATTGGTCCAGGCATGAATTGCCTCGACGGTTGCAAATCTTCCGATGCTTGCTCCCAATGTGATGAGTCCAGATGCAAAGATTGCGACCAGACCAGCCTTATACCGTCTACTGAGTTGCAGGCCAAAAAGAAGTGGAAAAGGTAGTGCAAATACTGTATAATGTCAGCGATTGAACAGAATTAGACAGAGATTGCTGTACCAAGCATGTCGGAGATGAGATTCATGACCCAATCAATCCGAAAGACAGTCTTCGAGTCAAACGTGCTGCAGTCTCCATCAATCTCCCAATTGACAGATACGTTGGCACCGCACCAAAACGTATCCAAGAAACATGTCGTGAGCATAAACGACCCCGTCAAAGCAGTAACTCCATAAAGAAACTTGCGTAGCAGTGGTAACGTCTGTGGAATAAGCTTAAAGTAAAGCGCCAACAACGCCAGCTTCGGAAAGTAGACACCCGTATCGTAGAAATAGTTTCCCGCAAACGACACCTTCATCAACGTGATCTGATCCTCAATACTCCGCGGCGGCGCACTCGGATCATACTCGTCCATTCCCCCCAAATTATACGCCGCCGTGTCGGTCCCAAATAATGCAGCGGCATCGAGGAGAGAGGCGACGAGAAACCAATCGCTCACGGTAAGACTCTGGTGTTGTCGTATTGTTCGAAGGGCTAATCGAGCGAGCACGAGGAGCGTTGATATTCCGAAGAGCACGGCCTCGATGGGCTGCATCGTAGATCGCGGTTAGCAAGCGAGTCATGGTCCTGATCTTGCCAAGGAATTGCAGATCTTTGCTCAGGCCAGATCGGAATGGTAACTTGACTTACAACCACGGCCTCTTTAGCGACACCAGCCATATCTCAAGATATCAGATACTTCAACTCATAAATGGAGAGATTCAAAAATTAAAAGACCAAGATTCAGGTCTAACGAGATGGGGTTGGCGTCGATTAAATGAACAGCCCAAGCATTTCTTTCTGTCACGTCCTGCATACAGCCTGTGTGCGGCGGTGCCGGTTCCGAAATATCAGCACATGAGAATCACTCACTACAGCACAATCACCATAAAAACAGCATCATAATCTTTTCACAAAAAGCATCCAGTGCCGGGGCAGGCACACACACCATCAACGGCCGGACCTTTTGTGAGACGGGTATTGATATGCAACTGGCTAAAAACTGTCAAATCCAGGGGTAAAGTAGTCAAAGTCAGATCGCTTAACGACGCCACCAGATACGGGGAATGCTGTTGGTTTACAAAGAACTGATGAAGCATACTTTTCTGGGAACATGCATGCACTGGTCCGAATCACTCTATCATTAATTTAACATGCAGACGGGGAAAAAGCAAGGATTCGAAACGGTCGGTGGAAAACGGAGTTTATTGGATGACAAGCAAATTCCGCAGGACCTGTCCTTCGGCCCTTTGACACGTACTGTTAGTAACTGATTTTCATGCGTCTGCGGCACAGTTCAAGGACATTATACGCTGGAGATAACATGTACCAATTGATGGGTGTTGGATCTCGTTTAGGGAGCTCGGAGGGACTTCCCCAAGAGATCGACACGCCAGAAGGAACCGGTAGAAATATGATCCCCGTAGCCAAGACTGTGATGGGAGCAAGGGTGTTGGCTAATGTGCTGCTAACCGAGGAGTCTCGGGCCGTAGGGGTTTGTTGGTTGCATGCCGCTTTTTCCGAGATCTGAAACGGGGAAAAAAAGGCGCTCGAGTGAGGATCAAGCTTTGCTGCAAGAGATTTATTAGCAGTGAAGTTTGCAGTGATCAGCGGTCAATCGTCGCTCGGATATATCTCCACGATTGAAGCGCAGATCACTGGACCGTCAACTTGGCTCTTGGGACTCTGTTAAAATTTCTGTTCTAGTAGCCGAAAAATTACATGCAAAACATCAAAAAGCAAACATGATGGGCTGATGCTCGATAATCGTGCCATGCCCCAAAACTAACCAGTCTCAAAACCGTCTAGTCAAACATTATAAAACCTCCTGCCAAACACTGGTCGAAACGGAAACAATCCCAGGTCCATGCGTTCCCACTAAGTTCTAGAGCTTCACCACGTTACACTTTTTAACCTTAGCTGAAAGCTTGTCTTTAGCCTCTCGCAACAGGCGGGCGCAAGACTCCTTGCCTTATTTGTCTAGACCAGTTACCGAGATTGCAAGCCTCGGGGACTTCTTTGTCTGGATTTATTCCCCGGCGGCGAAGCGGTTTATTATTTAAAGTCTTAAAGGACGCTTTATATGTCGTATTTTGAATGGAGTTGCCTGGAGGAAGGCATTTGGTGAAATCCGCTGCGGCTGAAGGCGATGTTACATCGGGTCTCGGGTTCGCATTCTAGAGACCCGAGTCTTGCCGCAGAAGCAAAAAGTTTGGATAAAATGGCATGTCAAAGTATAACGCGGAACCGGGTAACGTTCGAAAAGCAAGCATTAAAAAGTGTCAAATGCGATCGAATCATCCGGTTGCTATCTCGTAGGGTTTGACATGCCTGAACATCCAAGTAACACCATAAAAGTATACATTGTCTTGAAGAGTCGGCTTATCATGCACCGTCGGCATTTAGCAAGCTTAGATCTCTATATGTAGGCTAGCAGGCTTCTTCATACGATGATTAGTGCGGCACTGAGTGGGAAGCGACTGGTGTGGATGAGCTTGCGAAGATAGTTACCGTTATGCAGCAACAGGGGTGCAACCAACGGGCCTAAGATAAGAGAGCCTGTCAGACGGATCTGGCATTAAAGTGGTACGCTCGTGAAGCATAAATCATATAGTCCCCTCTGATGATTAGCATACTTGACAAACTCATCATAATTCTCTAGTAACTGTCCTCTGCTTTTGAAGCAGACTTTAAACATGTCCCAAGAAGTGACAGGCGGCTGTAAGTCCTCAAACATTCTAAGCCCGGACATCTACTGTAAAATATCTCAGTTCAGCAAGTCTGAATGGATGGAAAAGCATGGTTACGCTGGACCAACAGCGTGAGACTTGGTGACCGCTGTCAGCAGCCTCGCGCAGACATTGACGAAGTTAAAAGTCAAAACTTCAGTTCCCGGAGGGTCTGAGGACCTCGAACATCTCTGTCGGGAGTTGCCAGAGTTTAAGTAATACTGTGTCATAAGGTGTCATCAAAACTCAAATCTTGGTTGCCCAGATGATCTAGGTCACTGCCTTTTGTACCCCAGTCTTCCTCTCATCGCTTTGCATTTGGAACGGCGTTCACCCTCTCACATGAATGCAACGCTAAGACAAAAGGCAACCATTCAGTGCCTGTCGTTGTCGTAGGTTGCTGAGCCTCCCCTGACCGATGTGACATTCTGTACCTCGTTATAAGGTTTGACAGCTACCCGCGCTAACCAGAGAACTCGATCAGCAGCTGATGCTTCCCGATCATCTTGACCGCTGGTGCCACACCGTAATACGCTTATAAATTGCATTTAAATGACTCTTATGATGATCTGACGCGTCTTGTACAGCTGACAAGGGTGAGTTCTCTGAATGGTGGCGTGTTGTCAACTAACTTAAGGACCCCTTCCATAATCTGTGATTCAATGAGTTGACCATCGATAACTACAGGCACACGATGAGGGGCTTGACACTTCCAGTTTGACCACTTCGACGCCACAAGATGACCATGCCATCGCATTCTTGTCACCTGCGCTGCAAACCTAAACTTTAAGCTTATGGCTAACACTTGTCTATGGGGCTGAGATTGCCACGCCAGTTTGTTGCCCTTCGATGCAGACCGATGAGATATATTTAACTGCTACTTTCTGCAACGACTCTTGTCCCAAAGCAACATCGTCGAATATTATCTTCCTCCCTTGTATGTATGCCGAATTGATCGACATTTCCCCCTGAAAAAAAAATCTCCAGATCGACAACATCATGGCTACGAGGGAGTTACTCATCGTTATCCTCAATCACACCAACGAGGAGCTCATCGCAGAGTCCGAATGGCCACCTCTCAACCATGGAGAATGGACCAAGGCGCCAGACCTTCAGCCGCCGCAAACAATCCTAGCGGGCGAGAGTGGTATGCTGCGCTGCAAGTCGAGTCACATGGGCGGAGGTGTTGACGGTTCAATCACATACCGCATCGTCGGATTCGAAGGGAGGAACGAGGTTGCGTTTATGTGGAGCGTCCCGTATGTTGGGGCAAACAAGTTTGACGCCTGTTGTGCTGTGTCTGACTTTACGGTTGAGATCTTGGGCGGGCGGGGTAAAGAGGCCGTTGTTGTCTTTGTGTTTGGTGAGTTTGATACTTGTGGAGATGGTACGGAAGGCTAATAGTCTCGTAGGACCGGCGAAGATGGCAGATGTTAGCCCGGGAGATGGTGTGTGGGCTGCTGTGACTAAATATCCTGTCGAGTGCGCCAAGAGTCTTGTCGGTGGCTTCAATCGCAATTAAATTGACAAAGTTTTATTGGATTTGTGTGTCCTCTGCAAGTTTCTGTGTGATGATCTGAGCAAGAGTAACTGGAAAATAGTAAATGCATGCTGCAACTAGTTCAATCTGTTTATATCAAGGCATATTCCGTGAATCAAGCAAAGTTTCTCCTTCGGCTTCCGCCGTTTGTGGCTGCTTACCCCAAAACATCGACGTTAACCCGCTTGACCCCTCTCCAGGCTAACACGGTATGAGAGGGATTGTGGCCTAGACATTATCTGTTGGTTCAACATTTCGCTGATAACCATGGACCTTGGGGTCCCCTCTTGAGTGTGATAATCGTTAGTCCATGATCTAGATACCGCACTGGATCATGCTTACCTGGCAAGCTTTTCCGCGTGTTCTTTCAAATCGGTCTTTGTCTCGTCAAGCTTGATATAAGTCCGGAAGACATAAACACCCTGTATTTGGTCATGTCAGCTCTGTGGAGCTCTGATCAGAATGGGACTCACTCACGAGAACGCCGCTAACAAGATGGAGAAACCATGCAATGAATGCAAATGCAAGGGCTGTCCTCCACGAGGCACAACCTGCCGCGTCGATATTGACCGTCCCGATAGGTCCGACTCGCCAAAAGCGACCCCAGTAGTAGCCCCAGTAATTGTAGTACCAACTGGCAGAACAATTATGACTACCGGTTCTCTATGAAAGCTGGTCAGTGGGTGTTGCTAGCTGTCAGGGTGATGAGAGATTACAGTTTGTAGCAAGCAGTATGCGACGAGCCACATGACAAACATGACAAAGTCGAACGGGAAGCCCAGGAACATGGCCTTGAACGGTGGACAGAAACAAATGGAATACATAATGCTGAGGCACGCGACGACGATGGTGTAGATGATTCGCCCGTCGACATGAGCTTCTGCGATGCCCGCGAGGTAGCAGAAGCGAGACAGAATGCCCAGCACTATGATGGCGGAGGCGAGCTCGGAGAGGCGGAGAATAACAGAGATGACCTTATGGGCGACGCCGGTTTCTGCCATCTTGGATGAGTTGGGGTTAAAGATGAGATGTTGTAGGTTATTGAGGTTTGATGGTTTGCTACTCAGATCATCACAAGAGCGTAGAGCGAACAGTGTTATATATATTCATGAACCGTCTGAAGAATGGCTACACTGGTCCTAATTATAATGCAAGTATGTTTTGCAGTGATCTAGGATGTCCGGGCTCAGTATTATGTTCACTCTGTCGTATCATATGGCAAGCAGTTTCAGCCACCACAAACCCATTTCTTGAAGTGGTTTGGGATAACACTGACCATCACATGCAACAGAATGCAGGTTTGCAGCTGATAAAACAAGTCCTGTATCGTGGCGCTTGTCAGCCAGAGCGGGCACAGTGCAACTACATCCACGTACTGGAGAATAGCCGAATGGAACTAGATACGTAATAAGCCATAGCCTCAGTATGACGTGTCTTGTTAGTCTTGGCTTGGCTGAAAGAAACAAGCCTGGCAGGCAACTGGCAATAACATATGCTGTGGCACATCAAACACCCAAACCCCTCTGCTCCGTATATTGCGCAAACTCCTCATCCATCTTCAACTGGGTAAAGCAAGTCTCCCCCAAAACAAAGCAGACTTCAATACGACCACAGTCCCCAGAATTTCTAACTCCGGCTCTGGACGGAAGTACAAAGAAAACGCCTCCAAAGTTCGGAAATCGCTATCTTAGTGCAGGAGGCTTATCAAATCCAAAGTCATGGTTATCGTATGATCTCATGGTGTGCCAGTCAAAAGTCACATAGTCGAGACCAAGCACCAAACGCACATCTAGCTCAGACCACTGAAGATTTGAATACCCAGCCGCATATCTGATCAAGTCTGATAGATACTCTGAGTTAATAGAGTATTAGAGTCGGATCTGGCCTGAGAAGCCTGGACTGGGACCGTGTAGTTGCACGCCACACGATATATAGAATGACATCATGAGTAAGGATTCAAGCTTCTGGTTCCAGCCTTGTACTGCACTGTGCTTTGAGTAGTTGTATTTGCCTTCTGGGGGAACATATACTAGTCCTGACAACCGGCACTCTGAAGTCTCCTAGATCTAAGACTATCCAAGCTACCACACAAAATGGTCTGGACATGCTGACCTGCCGTGACCCCGCTTCAACATGGCTATCCAGTAGACGGTTAGACCGCTACCCAAATATGGTTCTCAAGTTGGACTTGGCCATGATGTCGATCCAGTGCACTTGACTACCAGCACCTTGGCCATCGTAAGCTGCCCAAACGGCCTGAACCAGCTGCTTGACGACCCTGATAGGCTTGGGAGGGAGACTAGTTTCCAATATGCTTAAGCGTTCGAGTACGAATCGGCGCCCTTGGCTAACTTCTATACAGCGCTTCGTAGTTACTGGAGATAGGAGCGTATTGTGACGAATGTCCCCGAACGGAGGATCTTGATGTGCTGCAGTTGGCGCGCTGCGCAGATCAGCTGATAATAAGTCGCTCAGCAGCTTCGGAGTATGCGTCTGAGGATTTATTACTGGTACATCAAACTTCATGAGAATTCCAGCCGTCAAGCACAAGAGGGGCTGAATACAACGAGTACCAGAGGCCAACGGTATCTTTTCTAGGATGCGGATGATATTCGAACCCAACTCCAGGACTCGGTACTCAGCGTCAACGAGACTGCCTCCATTCAGCGACGTATCCTGGTTTCTCAGATCAGAGAAGGTTTGGTACAGGTGAGCCGTGGCAGCCAGCCTGTAGGCTTCTGCTATTTGAACCAGGTGACTCTTTGGTGTCCAGGTATCTCCTGTGTCACAAATATCCTGTTCAGCTGGTATTGGGAAGGACTTCAGGCGCTGATACAGCTCCCGAGCCTCTTTGATATAATAGAGAGCGGCTTGAAGAGATCGAGAGCTCTGTCGATGATCATGGGTCATTCGGGCTCGGAATCCTTTACATAGAAGGATGGAGCGGAAGAAGAGCTCCATGATCTCGGTTGAGACACCTGTCCATGGATGCAGACTACTTTGACTGCTCGATGGTTGCGACGGCATAGCTGAAGAAGTAGCAGGAGGATCAATAATTTCCGGGTCTTGCGCGTCAATGATACTACACAACATGTCCCAATACATAGTGCTGTTATTGAAAAACAGTAACGCATCTTGATCATCTTTAGAGAGAAGGTGTTTAGATTGCTTATAGGACTGGAGTATCGTTTTTGTCTCCTTCAGGAACGGGAGGCCAAACTGTAGTGGGTCAGTCCAGCACGCCGAAGTGCCGATGCAGAACATTGACAACAGCAGATGTCGTGGAAGAACCTGAGGGCACAGAGTCTTGCTCAGCTCCCTCCTAATGGCTTGTATAGCTGCTAGCGTCGTACTTATAGCAATGCCTCGGAAGTGCGGTAGATACTCCGCTAGGTATGCAGCGGCCATACTCTGTAGACTACAGGCCAGTCCTTCGGAGTACGCAAAGGCCTCCAAGGCTACACTGCGATTGAGGTTCTTGGCTGAGTCAAAAGAATTCCATGTTGCACAGACTGTTTGAAACCAGTAGTCGATCAGAAATGTGGGAGTGTGTGTCAGAGTCTGAGGGACGCCGGTATTGTAAAGGGTCACGGTGGCTTGGGATATTGACTGTGAAGCCTCCTCAGGAGATTGATAGGACGATGTCATGGAGAGTGGCCCTTGGTCCTTTGTCTGTTCGATAAATGTCTCGTTGGAATAGCTGGGTGAAAGGATGTCAACGTGGCATGGGTTTAGGACAAAGCTTTTGCACGAATCCATGCTGAAGTTCAAACATGTATCAAATGATCCGCAGTCATTAAACCACTGACTTTCATCCACAGCCCATGGCGCGTAAGTCTCGGCGTCTTGAATGGGGAGCCCGAGATCCATCTGTACACTTATTTCCGGGCGGTCAAGTGTTGGAGACGTGGCAAGAAAATCGACAAAGCATTCTCCATGCAGATTCAAATCTTGCACAAAGGAGAGTTCGGAATCTTCGAATTTGCCTGCGAGAGTAGTGTGTGGCCAAGCACCCTGTTGGACGTAACTGGAATAATCACTCGACTTTCGGCCATGAGTCGAGCTCCTGCTCGAGGTGGACGGCGTTCTGGTGTTTATGCTCTTATATCTGGAGCTGAGCTCATGTTTCGCTGACCATTTCAAGTTTTGCTGATACCCGGGGCAGCAAACCTGTTGGCTGGTGCACATGATACATTGAGGCCTTGTCTCGTCGCACTTAACCTGACGTTTGTTAGTCGTTCAAGTCCGGGACTTCGAAGTCGAGATAGACAAACACATAAGAACGTACCCTCTTCAACTTGCAAGTGATACACCCATGACGGGATTTCTTCGTGCCCTTCTGCGACATTATCGTGGATACTTGAGATGAAGTTGTATTTGGTGTGAGCTCTAGATAACTAGAGGGCAGTGACAACGCATGGCCCTAGATAGGCTGGCAGAAAGGAGGGGCCTAGATAAGTGCGGTACACGTCCCAAACTATAAACTAGTCTATGTGAACTAGTTCCAGAGATAAGAGACGAGGGGTCACAAGACCTCGTTAAAGTGCGGGGTTGCGAGTTTGAAAAAGGCGTCGGGAGATCATAGATAGCGGCGGAAGTGCAGTGAGTTCCATGTGCGGGATGCTAGATATGTCTCCCCGGCCACGTGACCGCGGAGATTCGCGCAACGAAGCCATCTACATTGAAGTCACGTAGGTATGACAAACCGAAGGCATCAGCTTTGTAACTTGTGATGTAGCATTGATAAATTAAAAAATAAATAAATGAAAAAAGATCTGCGAGTCTTGACTAATGAATGTAAACATCCGCCTGCATTTGATACAATCGCCCCAGTTACGCCCAACGCTTGAACTCCCGTTTCTTCTTTTAGGCATCCTCGAGATAGTCCCGAAGGATTCCATCCGGCATCTCCATCCCCAGCATGTTCTCGTCTCGCTCGAAAAGCTCCCACGATGTCTGTTTGAGATAGTAAACCTGGTCCTTCACCCAGCCATCTATCTCATCCCTATTCAATTCCGCATTCCCCGCTCTCTGCCTAGCAACGCGTTCACACGCCAGATTGACCCTGTCCCGAAGTCTCTTCAACTTGTAGTCCAGGTGAGCGTACTTGAGGGCATTCATGTCCTCGTTCTCAAAGTCAGCGCTCTTGAGGGTAGTCCGGGTGTCGTCCAAGTCCGGGTCGGCGAAGCGGTAGCTGGTCACCATGCTCACCCTCTCAGCGCAGTTACTAGCGCGAAGAGCGGCATGTTCTAGATTGCCGCCCTGCATGAGCACTGCTCCGCCGAGGTTAGCGCCGCGGGCCTTGATCAGGTTCCCTGCGCCGGTTCTGATGGCTGTCTCGCCGCCTTCCATGTTGCTGATATCGCTCAACATAACGACACAGACAACTGGAACTTGGTCCTTGTGCCAGGCATCAATAGCCACATCATCCCATTGGGACTTGGGGATGCTAGTCGCGGCTTCGGTCGGTGGCAGTGGTTTCGCGGGGATCTCGTTGTAATTGTAAACTCCCGCCTTTCCACCCTCGCCCAGCTGGACATTAACATAACCTATGTCGCAGTGTCGTTCGAGGGGCTTGAGGCCGGTACCGAAGGCCTGGTCGATGGCCGCTTGGGTAGCAGGGTGATACCAAGCTTGTTTAATAAAGCTAGCTTCCTTAAAGCAACTAGGTCAGTGTCATTATTAGACCTGGGACGGCTGTGAACTTACTTCAGAGTTGGCAGAGTGACCCCCAATGTAGCAAGGTGCTCGTGACCACGATCTCATATACTTATCCAAGAACTCCTTGCGGAAGATCTCCCGCCGCATGACACGCACGCCCTCTTCCGAAAAGAGCTGGAAGGGCTCTGTGTAGCATACATTTGGGGCGTTGCGTGGCTTATCGAGCCCCAGCTCAGTGAAGGAGTAACGTGCCGTCGGAGGGATGAAGTTCAGATGGATCTTGGGATCAAAGCGAGGAGGTTTGTAAGCTTCGACAGCTTGTTGGAGAGCATCGTCGATGGTATCTGTCTGCTGTGGTGTAATATCCACCGGCTGGACAGCTACTTGGACATCCGACATTTTGAATGCTTTGATTCGGTTTTGAAAGGTTAAGGATCTTGATGATAGCAGTTTGTGTGTTCAGAGATCTGGCTGAAGAATGGTACACCTATCTCATGTCCCAAGTCATGAATAAATATATGTTGCTCATGGGCCAGATATCTCTTGTCTCGGGGACGGTTATCAAAGAATTGGCTCTAGTAGACTAGTAACAGCGGCGTATCTCCCCTGTAACTAACCCTATTAGTTAAAGAAGCCCGGATAGACTTTCATCCCAATCACGAGATCGTCATAAATCACAAAGGATGTGACAATATGATAGGAGAATTGACTTTATGCTAGGCCGTGTTCGTGCAAAAGGCCCAGTGGCTTATCGCGCCGGTTGTGTAGTACTAACACAGTTAGTTCAGTTCCTTATCATACACACTTCATATGCAGGAATTGTCAAACCCCTGCAAGAACCCCAGATACGAATGCTTCCGTCATGATTCTGGCTCGCAAAGATCGGGCACGAGAGCCGATCTACTAAGTAGTAGCGAAACCTGAGCCTGTACTATGATGAACCTGCTTGGTGGAATGGTAATGTCGACCGATTTACCCGGCAGTTAGCTGCTTAGCTTACTATGTCGTGTCCTATCACAGTTCAGCACGTGCAATATTGCATTGAGCTAGAGATGCCGTCAAAATTCGGTACTATCATAATAAACACGAACTCTACATACCAATAGCTAATAGTGAAAAGTCCCCCCTAGCTTTTTTTTTTTATCTCTCTATTTGGCTACTGTCCATCGGATTGGCTCGTCAGAGATAGCCGTCGCTCGTTCCACTTGGCCCATACAAGCTCTGCCCGCTCTGAGATGTCCAACACCGTCCGAGGCACCACAGAATACTCCAAGCCAACCTCATCCAACATTTCACAAAAGTCGTCAAAGACTTGCATCCACTCTTTCTCGCTTCCGGGCATAAGTCGCACGCCATCATCCATCAACCACGGGGTGCCCGTTTCGCAGACCACGATCAGAGATCTCTCCATCCTTGCCTTGACTTGTTTCCAGGCTTCGAGTTGCTGCAGCCTTTGCACAGCTCCTGCGGCGGCATATCGTTTTGCGTAGACCAGTGGATCGAACCCGGAACGGTCGGATATGAACCAGCTGGAGGTCTTGAGAGCTTGCTTCTCGGCCGCTGCTTGCGCTTCGAGAATGAGTTGCTGGAGCTCGAGGCACCTGGTTTTGGAGGCCAGGATATCCTCGGCTGAGTATTTATGTTTTGCGAGAACAGTTCTGGCGACTTCAGAGACGATTTGTGGCTTATCGATTGATGAGTCGGCGAGCCCGTGCTCTAAATCATCTTGTAACCTGTTGACGAGTGTCGTCTTGCCTGTGGATTGAGGGCCGATAATGTAGATATTCGGAATATGTGCGCCTGAAAACATAGTGCTCTTGTTGATAGCCAAGGTGATGGCATTGCCATTTGTTGTTGAAGAAGTGAGGGGGTCAGCATGCCGTGTAACATCAACGCCCAATGATAATGACCGTGATTCACCAACAGCCCTGAGCTCATTTCCATTGGTTAAGCTCATCTGCACTGTTCTTCCATCATCCCAAACCCGCCGTGTTTTCTTCTCCTCATCTACAGCTCAATCTTAAGCCTCTCTCAAGGCAATGAGCTAAAAATGGCTCCTCAGAAGCCCGACAAAGGATTTCATGACATCTTGCTTCCAAGCTTGAGTCTCGACGATATTGTGTGGGATTTCCAAGTCCCAAATCTCCCATCACCATCCACTCTTAAAAAGGCCGAACTCATCAAAGTGATCGCCCTCCAAACCGACCTCAAAGAATGCAAGCACTCCATGATGCTCAAAGTCCAGGACAACACGCCAAATCGCGCCATAGCCGCATATCCGACCGATCGATTAATAGTCTTTTCACTTGAAGCCTTCAAACCACTTGTTTTCGGCGCCGCAGCAAAGGAGCAGCAGCCAGCGCCCGATCTTCAGCCCCGCACGCGCCAAGAGGTTTCCGACTACAGCATCAAATGTCTTCGCGCGGGCATTATTCTGAACGGTGTGCACTACAATTTCTACGGGCATAGTAATACGCAACTCAAGTCGCGATCATGTTTCCTCATGGCCGCGACGAGAGAAGAGATTTCGAGACTGATTGAGAGTATGGGAGACTTCACAAAAATGAAGACGGTGGGCAAGAAGGCCAAGCGTATTGGTCTTCTCTTCTCATCTTCCAAGGCGGCCATGATGATCAATCCCGACCGATGCGAGGATATTCCGGATATTGAAACAGACGAATACGTCTTCACTGATGGCTGTGGATTGATTGCGCCCAGTCTGGCACAAGAGTTGGCACGACGGCGACCACCAGAGAGAATCATCTTCCGAGACAGCCGATACACGCCTTCGGTCTTTCAACTTCGCTATCGGGGCTACAAGGGAGTTGTTACTGTTGATCCTCGAATGAAGAAGGAGAAAGCGCTTCTCAAGCTTCGCAAGTCGATGAAGAAGTTCAGTGGCGGCGATGATTACTCTTTTGCAGTAGTCGAGCACTCCAAGGTAACTAACACGATTTCCCAACAGACCTCGCTGACTATGTCACCATTCTAGCCTTTTTCATACGGGTTCCTCAACGACGAGAGTATCATCTTGCTCCGCGCATTGGGCATCTCACAAGAAACACTCCTTGCCAAGCAGCGCAATCACTTCAGTCTTCTCAAGAACGCTAAGTCCGACTTCCGCGATGCATTCCGCTTCTTAAGCTACGTCAATAAGCCAGATCTCGCTGAGCGTGTCCTTCTCGAGGGACTGGAGAGCGTAAAGCCGCAGATCAATAGCCAAGTCAACGGGCAACTGGACAAGATGTTGAATAAGCAAGGTGGACAAAGGTGTCGTATCTTCATACAGAAGTCGAGGCTTCTCTTTGGTGTATGCGATGCTTGGGATGTCTTGAAGGAAGGCGAGTGTGCGGTCAAGGTCACTCTGGAAGAGAGCGGTTTACCACATGCTTTGAAGAACAGTGAGATCATAGTCATCAGAAATCCATGTCTTCATCCAGGTGATTGGCAGAAGTTCAAGGTCGTTGAGCGGCCTGAGCTTTCACATCTGGTAGACTGCATCGTCTTTTCGACGCGGGGAAAAAGACCAGCTGCTGATCTCATGTCGGGTGGTGATCTAGATGGCGATACGTGTGAGTGAATATTTCTCCGTCTACCACTAATTAGTGCTAACCTTTCGCAGTCTTTGTGTCCTGGGACCCCGACCTCATCCCCTCAACGGTCTCAGCTCCAGCATTATACCCCGGCGGCCGGGAACCAATCCAGTTTCGCCCCATTACAGACGACGACCGCCTCGTCTACTTTGCAAAGTACCAGAACGCTTCTCTGGGTCAAATAAAGAACCTATATCTCGACTGGGCTCGAGTCGCTGGTCCCATGAGCGCCCAATGCCAAGAGCTCAATCGACTCTTTTCGCAGTGTGTCGATGGCAATCGGATAAAGATCCCTGAAAAGTTGCGCACTGCACCAAAGCCCACGCCTGATACGCCGCCATTCATACTCGATGTCCTCCATGACGATGCAGAAGTCTGCGTTCGTCGGCTGGGCCTCACGGAAGATGGAGATCTGACGGGATATGATATTGACGCTATTCAGCTCTTGTTTAGTCGTGAAGACGTCGCTATTGGTGAGTTTGAGTCAGTCAAACTGGCATATTCCTGGTGTCTCAAAAACAACACGTCGTTTGAGAGCCTGCTTCATCTCTTTGACTTCAACATTCTCAAAGCAGATCAAAAGGCATGGGTCCTTGCTCATGTACCAGGGTCTGCAGCCACCACAGGACTGGTTCAGAATGCTCTATGCTCATCCGGCATCCTTCAGCGAAGAGAACTTCAACAGTTCCACTTGGACTACCCCGGTATCAAATGGAAGAGAACATACGACTCGTCGGTCGATCGCCTCGCAACATTTCACGACGCTGTTGCGACAAACCTAGAGCTATTCCAGCGCACGCTCATCGTGTTCCAACCTGACGAGCGGTTATCCCTTGCAATTTACATTCCCAAGAAGATTGAGCGATCACAAGACTGCGTCATCAACGACACTGGGCGCTTGTTTGCGTTCCCTCATTCACAAGGCCCACAAAGACAGGCCCGACTCTCGCTACCGACCAAGATGCAGTATCAGCTCTACTGTGACGGAAACATCTTCCAGCTCTTCGAGAAGCAGCGAGGCAACTCGTGGGTATTTATTGGTCGACCAGGAAACAATGACCAAGACTACCGCAATCTTCAGAACAAAGGCGATAGACGCAGAAAAAGGCAGGAAGTGGTTGAGCGAGGGGAACAGGCTGAAGTTATCGCGAGCATTGCGCTAGACAAGTTCAGCAGAGGGCTTCAGATCCATATTGGAAGAGTGAATCGGTCTGCCGTCACAGCTGCAGTAAGTGTAACCCTCTCATTCAACTGAGTGAATATCGCTGACTGGACACAGGAAATCTACGTCATCAGCAATCGAGACGTAGCCTCAATGCGCAACCTTGACCTTTGGCTAGAACAGATCGACACTACCGAGACCCTGCCTCTATTCTCGGAAGAGCCGAAAGATTATTCTGCACCCAGTCTGACAGATGTTTTATCACATTCCGATCCATCATGGCTCATTGAGGCCGTAAAAGGTAACGACATGTCCGCACTCTCACGATTAGAGTCAGTAGAGCAGTACCAAAAGGTCTTCAAATTGGCCCGAGAAGCGAGCGATAAACGGTTTCTTATGCGGTGCATTGAACATATTTTGAGCAATATTGAGAAACTTGTTCTCGATCAGAAGGAACTGCTTAACGCGATGCTCCAAGTTCTCACCAATGAGCCGACACTGGCTATAACCTTCACACCATTTCTGTCTTCATCCCGCTCGGATAAGAACCAAGACCTGGTTGTACTACTGGAGGCATCTCTCTTGCCGATTTTACGGGCATTCATCTTGTCCGTCAACACCATGGGCCAACTTATCTTGGAGCCGCTCAAGAGCATCCTTTCCGCTATCACCCCCGGAAGCTTATCGCTCCTTGACCTCGCGACGCTTCTTGAACTTGCAGCATTGACTATTCGATCAACAGATCTGGCTTTGGACCTCTTTTTGGATTGTCTGCAGCCCAATGCGTCTCGCTTTATGGTGACCGACCCAAAGGTAACCAGCCATTTATTGCGAAACATGATCGCGATTGCGTTAGATCACATTGAAGAAGCCGATAACGTCGCGAAGAGACTGCAGGGTCTTTATGAGCTGAAGCAATCGCCGAAAGACAAGAATGGGAATTTGATCGAGATCGACTTCAGAATCGACACGACTGGGACACCAAAGAAAGGATTACACGTGAGGCTGACAACGGCGTCACTACCATCAAATGTGCTGGTTGGCAGCAACTATTCCATCGATGCCCTCGTGGCAATGTCTGAGACAGGGCGTGCACGCTTCGAATGTCTTCATCCGCTCCCTTCTTACTTCGAACAATGTTCATGGATCTTGGAAGACTGCGGTCCTTTCGTCACCTCCAAATCCATGATCGACGCCGTCAAAGATCTTTGCATCTACCAAGAAGATTGCTGCGGTGTCGCAAACATCATTTTCGGCCTTCCATCCCCGAACATCCCAGGACCAGACCATTCCTTCAGCAGAATTGAGAGACTGAACGACAGCCAGAACCAAGCTATCAAATTAGCATTGAACAGTTCCCTTCTCTGCCTTTGGGGCCCGCCTGGGACTGGAAAGACCGAGACGATTGTTGAGATGATCTGTGCATTGCAGACAGCTAATCCTAAAGCGCGTGTTCTAGTGACGGCGCCGACACATAATGCAGTGGATAACGTGATGAGACGGTATATCCAACGTCTTCAGAAGCAGCCATTGGCTAGGAAGACGCAACCGGATTTAGTACGAGTGTCGACAGAGGTATGTCACCCATCACCCATGCTAAGAGGTGAAGTCAGCTGACTTCATGTAGGTGCGCAAGGTTGCCGATGATCTACGTAAGTATACATGCGACGCCATGGCAGGGCAGGAGATTCACTCCGACTACAAGGCTATGAAGAAGGCTATGGAAATGGTCAAACGAAGCGATACTATCTTCACCACCTGTATTGGAGCAGGTATCGGATTGATTCGCTCAGAGTTCTTCGACATCGTGATTGTCGACGAGGCTTCCCAGCAGACAGAACCGAGCTCAATCGTCCCACTTGTGAAGGGCTGCTCGCAGGCCATTCTGGTTGGGGATCATGTGCAGCTGCGGCCGACTGTCAATCAGACTGCGTTGGCACTCGACTTTGACGTCTCGCTCTTTGAAAGACTCTACACAGAAGCCAATGGCTCCAACGGTAACGATGGTTTGAGGAAGTTGATGCTGAATACGCAGTATCGTATGCATCCAAAGCTATGCGAGTTCAGCTCAGGACAGTTCTACGAAGGAAAGTTGAAGTCGGGCATCAACAGCTCTGCAAGACCGCCCATCAAGTCCAAATTTCCATTCCCCCCAGCTAGGGTCACGAATCAGAAAGGACGCTCCGGGATGGGGATGCGAGACTATGAGCGGGCCATCTTCATCAACTGCGATGCAACGGAAATGCCAGGTCAAAAGTCAAAAGAGAACAGAGGACAAGCAGAGCTCTGCCTTCGCATCTGCAGGCTCTTGACCAGCGGTTCAGAGACCGAGGGCCCCTCGCACTCAATTGTGGTCTTAACACCCTATACTCGCCAAGCCGAAGTCCTTAAGCGCATGCTCTCCAGCATACCCTACAAAATCGAGGTATCAAGCATCGACGGATTTCAGGGTCGTGAGGCGGACATTATCGTGTTTGTAACGGTACGATGTAACGAGCACCGTGAGATTGGGTTCTTGAAGGACATGCGAAGGATGAATGTTGCTCTGACTCGGGCAAGATCAGCGCTGATTGTTGTTGGGAACCGGGTGACATTAACCGAAGGCACGGCAGATGAAGAGAGTGCAGTTATGTGGAGGAAGTTGCTTGGGAGTCTGACTGAGGTGAAGCTAGAGGCTCCCGTCAACGACTCAGTCAAGAAGTGATCAGCTTAGGGTCCCTTCACTTCACAGGCATAAATCTCACACCGTCTCAGCAAGCAATGAACGGAAAAGCCAGCTTCCGCGGAAACCTCGGACAAGCTCCCAAAAGTGCCTCCCTACAAAGTAGTGCTAAACGCGGACACGGGTATTTCATGAACACCGATAGGTCCAGCTCTGGGGCCGAGATCCGAAAGGCGCCAAATCCATAGGGCAGAAGGGGCCATGCAGTCATCATTTCACATGAAACGCTGTATTCGGAGTTCTTTTCGTCGATCATACCGCGGCATTTACAGTGAATCAGCCGAGTGAGGCCACCTTCCTGAAATGCCGTCTTACGTGAGGTCTAGATTTAATGCCTCTTTGCGGCGCATGATTGACGATCTTTGACTCAGGAACCTAGCCACAGGGAGAAAAAGAACGTAAGACCTTATTGTAGGGTATTGAACCAAAGTCAGCAAAAGGTACACTAAGTAAATGCTCAGTCACCAAAGTATTATGATAAGTTGCCCAAGTCTTTTTGTCATTTAGGATCAAAGCCCTGAGATTTCTTGCCTCCCGTATGGAGGCAGTCTAGACTGTAAATGGAAGTGGTTTTACGGAGGAGAGGCCCGTTGAGTGAGCAGACCATACGCTATACGGAATAATCTGCGGCCCGCGCCGCATATAAGTTCCGAGTAACCTACCCGGGCCAATCGGCAGTCGCGGTGAAAAGGGGCCCACGGACATTATTGCATGATCTAAGCTACGCCGACGGAGTTTAGAGGTCAAGAGGAGGACTTGAGACCTGAATACCCTGAGTTGGGAGACCTTTCTCCAATTGGGCATGATTTCCAGGGCTGGTGAGATACAAATGGAATCGCTCAAGTGCTTATGATCACGATGGAATCGGTTCTGAAACAGATGCTGGATAACAAGTATCGAGTAAGACAGAAGTTGTACGGTCTTGGTGCTTGTGATACTCACGCGCAGGATCGTGCATTGCTCTGCCACTCTTGAGTAACAAGTCAGACTGCCTAGATCGCTGGAGAATAGTAACTGCTCCCCCGTCAGCAATTAGACAAGCAACTTCAAAGCTAAGCAGCTGGGGAAAGTGGACCGTCAATCGTAGGAATCTCACGTACTGCATTAGCTCTCGCACTCGCACACCGGACTTAACCCTGACTTACATATCCAGCTCTCACAAGTACTTCCATCTACAGTCAAAATTACACAATTGAAATCACAAATATTCCAAAAGGAGAGCATGGTTCGCGGCTATTCTCCTCCGTGTTGATCAATTATGGAGCGTATCATCTCGGTCCCGAAGTCCCAAGTGGAATCCGAGCTTGCGGCACATGCACTCTTATTTCCACTCGCTCGGACTATCGGGCGACGTGCCACACACGTGCAATCCTGAGCATCTATGTTATACGAGGAGGATCCTTGTAAACCCAACGATCCTCCCTTATGCAACTGTCGTAATGTCAACTAATTCGCTTCTGTGACTTGTTCACTAACTATTACTACACAAAATAGTAAGCAGAAGTGATACTAGTTCGGTTTGGTCAATTAGTGAAACTTGTATCCTAGTATGCGTAGCCGCTCATTTCCTAGATGAGAAATACCTCACGGTGAGGCGATAGCCAATGAGTAGAGCGTCAACCCGAGATGATGATGATGATGGTGATGATGATGATGATGATGGACTAATTTCTTATGGTCGAGGACTTTTGAGAGGATTCAGTTGCATGAGGCGAAGTGCAGCACGGACTGTCTCGGGACATTGTGAGATGAGCACTATCTGGGGAATAAATCATAAGCAAGCGTCAATGGCTTGCCTTCTCGTGACTCCTGAAGACTATAAGAACTCGAGGTCTTTCGCAGTCTTTACAACTCATCGTCCTCACTCATCCACTCATCTATTCAACCTCAACAGATTCTGCAGCAATCATGAAGGCCACTCTCTTCGTCTCTCTCCTCCTCTCTCTTGGCGTCACAGCCACTCCTGCCACCGACACCGTCACCATTGAGGACGGTGGTCACGTATATACTGGCATCGATAAGGTAAAAAAATCCCTATCTCCACAAGTATCTCAAAGCTGTGCTGACACTGGGCTTCACAGCCCCTCCTCGCCCTCCGTGGTCTTGAGGCTCGCTGCAGCTGCTTCCCCTGCTACTCTCCCCATGCGGACTGCCAGCCCGGAAAGTGCCAGTGCGCTGGTGACTATGGCTGCTGGTCTTGCGGCGGTGGTCGCATGCAGTGCCAGCCTGGTCCTGGATCCGGACAGTGCTGGACCTAAACACTCTGCTGGTTTCAACGGGGTCGGACAGGAATGCATTCCACCGGTATTGAGGGCGCATCATCAAGCTCAAACTCACTCCGTCGTTTATAGTCCTGTTTATTGGAGCTACAAAGAACACAGTCGTTACAAAGAGACATATCTATGCAATATAACACTCTGGGTACCATGTTATGCTCCACTAGTACGACATGTTCTCCATCTCGTGAATGAGTGCCTTGACCTGAACCATTTCCCTGTCATCATACTTTGGGGTGCCTTGTACCTGTCCAAAAGGAGTTGCCCAAACGGCCAAGTTCGCTCTGATCTGGCTCTCATCATGTTTCCATCTCTCAAGCATGGCACAGGCAAGATGATGGTACTCATCAGCGTGCTGCATAAAGCCAATGCGGCCCCAAATGGCACCACTGGGAAAGTCTGTAGAGCTGGATTTGATGTTATCGCCATGGCGCCATAACCATAACCACCGACTAAGCCCTGTAGCAGCCGGGGACATCTGTGACACATCCACCAGGGTAGTCTGGTACTGGAATACTAAACAGCATAGAGCTATGGTGATGTTAGTTACAGATTGCGAGTGACTGATTGAGATCTAGCGGTACCTGATACAATAGTAAACATGTTGAAGGAACTGAGGTTGCGGAATAGGTCCAAGTCAACATGTTGAGAAGAGCACAACAGCCTAACACAAGATGAGACTCTTAACCTGAACTGGTTTTGCCTTGCTTTCGTCGCAGTGTACAGATGCAGAAAGCATTCCGCTGCTGATGCTGCCTGGAAGCAGACTTCAGGGCACACGAGCCCTGTGTTGAGCTCGAGAGACATGACTCTTGGAGGAAGTCTCCAGAAGAGAAGAAAGGCCGAGTCGAGAAGATAGATGTACGTTGCTGTCCTATTCATCTAATCAGAGCAGGTAATTAAGGTGCTTCTCGTAAACAAACGCACCGGATCATGCTTTCTATTAAAATAAACTTTGTCCACTTCTGTTTGGTAGGTGATGTGGCATCTAGTGACCCAAGGCTTAAATTATAGAGGCCGAAGGATCTCGCTATCTGTCGGGGATGTCAGAAAAGAAACTCATCAATTTCACAGTGCTAGTGACATACCGAGACGATGTGGCTGTATCGTTCTTTTCGAATGCGCTGTTTGCCATCCTTGGATCCCTCCCAATTTTGAGCAATGCAGACAAAGTACGCAGCCTGCAGCGCCTTCATCCGATCCCATACCACCTGCTCATCACCGATCAGATCCGAAGAAGCAACAACCGAATCATCGAATAAGATACCATCGCTAAAGACTGCTTCTTCAACAGCGGGAAGCCACGCCATCGCTCGTACACAGTCGCCCGGCTCTGGTGACATGCACGCCCCCAGGACAGCCAGGGATGCAACCAGCCCCGGCGGTTCTGACTCGGGATTGAAGGTTGGCCGGTGGATGATGGGATTATTGGGATACCAGCCTGACCAGAAAAGGAGGAGGAACCTCTGCAGGTTGACGGGGGAGAAGAATTCGAAACATCCCTTCTCCATCACTGGAGACCATTCTAGGCCGATATTAGAGCATGGCTGTGTCCGGCTCATTGTTCTCTTCATCATTGTCGCAATCTCGCGTGTCTTGCTCTTCAAGAACTGGCACTGGGAATCCTCGATTGAATCATAGAGTTGCCGTCTCTGAGCCAGCGTCCCGCAGTCGAAGCCATCAGCGATGCCAGATGACTCTGTAAATCGTTTCAAAAATGGCAGCGTCGTTCTTTGAGGCACAGGGGCCTGACTTGGAAATGAATCAAGACTTATCATGCTTCCTTGGGTATCATTGAACATATCGAAGAGGAAGCCGGGCATAAAAGGCGTCGTTTGACATCGTAGCCACTGAAGAGATGGGTCGGTGATATCCGTCGCAGTACCAGAAATCCTATCATTTCCTGGGCCGAGATACGCCGACATATCCGTCTCATGTGTTCGATGAAACTCCTGTGTTGATTGATCTTGTGAGACGGGTGACGCCTTGGAATTGTGTGCTGCATTGTAGGAGCATTCGTAGCTTTTAACACTGCATGTACTGCAAGGCTGTTTTCCATCACAGGCCCTCTTCATCCGGATGCAGCGATCGCATGCTCTGCGCTTCTTGCCCCGTTGCCGGCGACCAGAACAAGAGGGGACCTCGGACCCTGACTCAAGACGTGTCCTACACGTGCCCCAGTGTCGTTTGAGGGCATCGCTGGTCGGGTCAGTCAGCAGATCACCCAGGTTACAGTTGGAGGCGGTATTTTAAGTGAGAGAGAGATGGATGTACCTGCGAGTAAAGGTCCGTTGACAGAAGGAGCAGACAGAGGGAGGTCCCGGATTCTCTAAAGCTGGTTGGCAAATCTTTGTCACGGCTGTGAAGGGGAGCAAAACAAGGGACATACTTGAGCGGCGGGGTACGGCCAGAGATGCCGAGGCCAATGGCGGTGACACAGCAGCATCCATTTGCATACATAGAGATAGGACGAATACGCAAGAGCCGACTTGTCCGAGATACGGTCAATATGAGAACCAACAACAAACTTGCTAGCAGTGACAAGTCTACGCTGAAGCACGACTTTTCTTTAGATCTTGGCGAGAAACACCTCAGCTCGATTGTCACATTCTTCCCCCCTGCAGGTGCAGGAGACATGGCTCAACTACCGAGAAGACAATGCCAGCCACAGATCGTAACCCGATTTGGCCTTGTCTAAGCTAATCGTGGGGTCGAAAACGCGGGGGAATTGACAATGGGATCGTTTCTATTGGCTTTTGGTGAGCATGTGGCGGTGGACTTGTTCCGCTCCCCACTCGCCCTAGCCGAGTTAGTGTGCGGAGGTGGAATTTATCGCGACGCCAGGACGCATTTGTTCGGGGCGGTAGAGTTCCGATATGCAGGGCCATTCGCGGTTTTCAAGGTATGGGAAGAATCAAGTGAGTAGGTACGCATCATTATAAAAAGGGTTGCATAAGAGAGACGAAGTCGTTGCTTGTCTCATCATCAATTTCTCCAATTTGTTCAAACTCTAGAACACAACAATTAACTACAACTACTTACAACATGTCTCCACCTGAGGAACACCACGGCCTCAAGTCCAAATGGCCCGAAGCTCTTGATCTCGCCGGTTCCAACTCCCCCTGCCGTCTCGAGGGAGAGATTGGTGATCTCGTGGTCCTGGGCGAGATTCCATCCGCTATCGACGGCACCTTCTACAGAGTCATGTGCGACCCTTTTGTCCCTCCTGACCCTAACAATGTCCCTATTGACGGCGACGGCCACGTCTCTGCCTTCAGGATCCACAACGGTAGAGTGGACATGAGGATTAAGTACGTGGAAACTGAGCGCTATAAGCTTGAGAGAAAAGCTGGCAAGGCTCTCTTTGGCCTCTATCGCAATCCGTATACCCACCATCCATGTGTGAGGGCGGCCGTCGACTCCACGGCCAACACTAACATGGTGTTTTGGGCCAATCGCCTCTTGGCTCTTAAGGAGGTTGCGTGCCCTTATGAGATGGACCCTGATACCCTTGAGACTATCTGCTACGACCCATTTGGGGACCAGATCAAAGCCAAGGCCTTCACTGCTCACCCCAAAGTTGATCCCTATTCTAAAGAGCTCGTGGTCTTCGGTTATGAAGCCAAGGGCTTAGGGACCAAGGATATAGTCATCTATGCCCTCGATGAACAAGGCATCAAGCACGATGAGCAATGGATTGAGTCCCCCTGGTGCGCCTTCATCCACGATTGCGTCATCACCCCAAACTGGATCGTCCTCCTACTTTGGCCCTTCGAAGCCAAGGTCGAGCGGATGAAGGCTGGCAAGCAGCATTGGGCATGGAGCTACGACCTCCCCGCCACCTTCATCGTTGTGCCCCGTCGAAAGACGTCCAAGGTCCCGTCCTCATGGAAGCAGGGAGAACACCGAGTCTATCATTGGAAGAACTGCATGCCTATCCATACAGGCGGTGCCTGGGAGGAGGACAATGGAAAGCTGTATCTCGAGTCATCACGTGTTCACGACAACGCCTTTCCATTCTTCCCACCGGAGGACGGAAGACAACCATCTCCAGACGCAAAAGCAGATTATGTCCGCTGGGAGATCGACCTCAATGCACCTTCAGGAACTCAGATGGTTGATCCTCAGATCATCGTCGACGTCCCATCTGAGTTCCCCAGGATGGACGAACGCTTCATGACACACAAGCATGAATTCATATTCCTCAACGTGTTCATCCCCGAGACCTCTCAAGGCGGAACCAACATCTTCCACGGGCTCAACGGCCTGGCTATGCACAGCCACTACTCAGGTGAGACGAAGTGGTTCTTCGCTGGCAAGGATTCTTTGGTCCAGGAGCCCATCTTTATTCCCCGCACTGCCGATGCCCCGGAGGGTGATGGGTGGATTATCGCCATGGTCGAGAGGCGTGTTGCTAATCGTAGTGAGCTCGTGGTTCTTGATACTAAAGAGTTTGAAAAGCCGGTTGCTATTATTCAGCTGCCTATGCATGTCAAGGCTCAAATACATGGGAATTGGGTGGACGCAAAGAGTCGGAAATCTGCTGAGCCAATTGTAAGACAGATTGGGGACGTGAAAATAAGTGGGAAGGGGGCTTTGGAGCCAATGAATTGATCAGAAGACTAGATGTTTTCGTGATATTATATATGCTACTTAAAATATAAGGCAGCTCTTAATTGCAATATTATATATGTTGATACTCAAAAATCCTCACCTACCCGGTACCTCGCAGTTCCCTCTAGCTGTATTAAGACTAGTAGTTCGTTCAACCTATTTTTACCTCGTTCCTGACTCGACTCGACAATTTCATAAAAGTCCTATGACTCGCAGACACGCACCAAGCCGATATCAATTTCCCCAGCGTCGCATTGATACAACATCAGCAACAGGAGAAGCCAAAGCGCCGAGCGCTTATCCGATTATTAACCTGCTCTTAACTGTCAGCGCGCATGGTTTTCGTAAGATCTCATGAAAACAGTCGAAATTACTCCGCAGGGGTCATTTCAGACGAGTGTACTAATTGACGTCTGACTGCATGTTCCCAGAGTCAGCACCGCTTAACGTTTTCCGAAGCCCAACAAAGTGCCATTACCGTCTACTGTAAGTCTTGCGCCCTCCTGTACATCAATTGCTTGTGATTTTCTCGCTGCAATTATCAGGCAAATGATTTCTCTATGCAAATCGCCTCGTTGGCACTAGTTGACTGACGGACAGGGGCTTAGGAAAATCCTTCAACCGCTGATTTAATGTCAAGAGAGCGACCACGACTTTTACTTCGGGCTTCTCAGCCACGACATCGCAAGGGACTTCCCAAGCCTCGCACTGGTTGCATGACATGCAGGTGAGATTAATGAGATCCACTCCCATCACATCGCGTGCTGATCTAGATCTATCTGCGCAGAATCCGCAAGATCAAATGTGATGAGGCCAGGCCAGACTGTCAGCGATGCATTGGCACTGGTCGCAAATGCGATGGCTATGGGGATACAGACACTGCGACACAGCAGACACTTCTCACTCGAGAACGTACACCTATCACGCGTGCACTCAGTAATGATCTTGGGGCAGAGCTGAGTTTTCATGTTTTTGACTACTATCGAGGCCATGTCTCTCACCAAGTTGGCGACACGGTGGATAGCGACTTCTGGGGTGATTTGGTGCTGCGACTTGCACCTACTGATCCCGCGATACGGCATGCCATCTCAGCGATCAGCTTAATGTATGCTGAAAAGACAAAAGACACAAAAGACCACTGTCCAAATTACAGACCCGCCATCCTGGAGTACAACAAAGCCATCCTCGCCGTTCGGTCATGGCCACTAGCTACAGAGTCAAGGGTGAAGCCTCTACTCGTGTGCTTGCTCTTTGTCTGCATTGAGTTCATGCTAGGCGATGAGCATCAAAACGCAGCCAAAATGCACATTCTGCAGGGACGAAGGCTTCTTGCAAACATCAAGGACCAGAAAACGCCAGAAATCGACATCATTCGACAATACCTGGCCCCGATATACTTACGGCTCGCATATGTCGGCAATGATAGAGTTGACTTCCCGACGCATCTTTTACAGATGACGACGACGCCGCTCAAGTTCGCTTCTCTGGCTGACGCACGGTGTGTCTTGTACTACCTCGTCGATATCGGATTCACTCTTATCTATGATGTCAAGTCGTATCGCTCAAATGGTGTCAGTGAAATTTCAGATTCTGAGGGAGATGCACTGCAGTCAAGATACAAACACATTGCCCATGAGCTGGCCAATTGGCGTCACGCATTTGAAGCGTACCTTGCGTTCAGTGATCTAGACGCGCCAGATACAAGAACCGCAAAGCTTTTGACACAGAGACACTGTCTCATGATAGTGTTTCTCGATTCAATGGTCTCGGGGTCAGACTATGTCTGCGATAGGAACAGCTTATGCGAGTTTTCCATTGCCGCTGACTGTGCAACTTTCACGATCAAGTACGACAATGAGATCATGCAAGGCCCATCATTCACCTTTGAAAGCGAGGTTACTGGTCCGGTTTACTGGATAGCTGCCAAGTGTAGACAGCCGGCTATTCGAAGGAGAGCCCTGGAACTTCTTTACGAGCGAGAAAAGACAAATCGTGTAGAGAATCTCACGATGATAAAGCATACCATTGCCATGGCCAAAAAAGTCATCGAGATTGAGGAGGAGGATCTTGACATACCACGTGGCACAAGACCCATGCAAGATTACCCAGACAAGTATGAAGTTGTCTCGAGAGAAGAGTCTAGCGAATGGGTTGAGGGCTTTCTGACAGATCAAAAAGAACAGTGGCCGGTGTTGTGGGATCTCGGGAGCCATTGCTCAGACATTCCTACCAAGCTGACCAGGATTACTGCTGCGACGGAGCAGAAGGAACTTGTAGAGGGACTAGCTAAAGGTTGGCCTAAAGAGCGGCTCGTCTGGCCATACGGAATTACTAGAGAGCGGAGAGTGTTGAGTGTTGTTGTGAAGAGACATACCGGTGATGATCTATGGCTGGAGTATGTGAGGGAGCCTTTGACGGGCGGCGGGGAGTATCGAGTTATGAAGGAGCATATACGGTTTACATAAAGATATTATGATCATTGGAACATAGCGCTCTAAATCATTACACCCAGCACTGAACTACTTCTAGCCAATTTTGATGCTTAGATAGTGGCAAGAAACTTGCAATCGTTAGCAGCTATCATTATCCCGTTCCTCCTGCTTTTCCATCCTCCATTTATGCCCTTTCCACATAACTACCCAGAGAAGAACGCTGAAGATTACCCACACTCCCGAGACAAAAACCGAAGTCCAACCCAAGCTCCATTCGTTTATCATGGGATCGGCAACTGCCACAGCACCTGCTCCGACCAAGCATCTGGCGAGATTATTCGCTGCCACGGCTGTCGCTGCAGAACGCGTGTTGAGATCAACAATGAGGGTGTTCAAGTTATTCATCGCGCCAGAGATAAACAAAGCGAGGAAGAATAAGGGAACCTCGATTCCTGCAAGCGCCAGTTTCTGGTCCATAACCCAACCATAAATGATGATTATCGCGCAGGCCATGTATACAAATGGCAGGGAAATCTCGATTCTCATTCTCTCAATAGGAAGCAGTTTGAGGTCTTGTTGTTGGTTTTTGACAATTTCTATGCCGTGCCTCTTGGCATGTCGTCGGAAGTTCCAGTCCATGACGAGGCCAGCTGTGTAGCGATAGCATATGCTTCCGATTCCCATGGGTAGATAGCACAGTCCGACCACGACAGACGAGTAATTGAACCGTGAAGTCAACTGAGCTGAGAGCGTTGACAGCACCATGTAGTAGCCACCATACATTAGAGCACTGAATCCAAGAATAAGGCCGGTTTCTTTTTCGAAGAGGATCTTTAGGGATGCGAATGGATTTGGTCGTTTGCGACTGGGTTGTTGGGCTAAGAGTTCGACATGTTCCCGCTTTCGTTGCTTGAGATATCCCATAAGTGACATGTTCCACCATGGTGGAGTAATACCTCCATTTCCAACAACGTTTCGGCATGTCTCTGGGAGAAACATAAATATGACGAGAAAGAGTGCAGCTGAAAAGATGGTGAGAAACCAAAAGATAGACCTCCAGCCAAGATAGTGATCAAGAAGGCCACCTATCACAGGTCCAAGGGCAGGGCCGAGGGTGACTCCCATAGACGCGTAGCCAAGATATTTCCCACGCTCAGCTCGGGTCACCATATCAGCGGATGTCGCACTACCGAGTGCTATAGTTGCACTGCTTCCAGCACTCTGGAGGCACCGCAGAATAATTAGCGCGACGTAACTATTCTGCAAGGCGAGACCGACGTTGGCCGCGAGATAGATGGCACAGCAAATCATGTATGCTGGTCTACGTCCATAAGTGTCTGAGAAGTTTCCGATGAACGAGGGTGTAATTCCTTGGAAGATCTGTCATAAGACGGAAAGATTGGAGGACTTTGTGAAATATATCTTACCAAGTATGTTGTAACTGTTAGGTTTACAAGAGAGATAGATACGTCCATATCCTTGGCGATGGAAGGAATTGCTGGGAGAAATACTGTACTGGACAAGGGAGATATCATCGCTAAGAATGATACCAAGATTATAATGCCGACCTTTTCCCAATAGGAGAAAACTGTATATGGAGGCTCTGGATTGTTAACCGAGGGTTCAATTTCCAAGAGATGGTTTGGCTGTGATAGGTCTGTATCTCCTGAATGTAGTGAATTGTCTGACTCGACTGGTCTATTCAACGTTGAGGCATCAGGTCTTGGTGGCTTGGGCACTTCCTGGTTCGTCATCTTTATAACGTAATAACTAAGTTGTCCTTAAATGACTTAAAAAACAGCATAAATACCTGGGCAAGGTGCAGATATTTATATACTGACATTGACTGTGTACTCCTATACAGTAAAGTTTATGTTAACTGCCACGTTAATGTTTTGCCGATTCGGTGCCGACAGGGCTGTTTCCTAACTAACCTAGGGCCAGAGGAGCGGTGCTGTAATTAGCTACAAGAAACGGGAGCTGCAACGCAGCTTGCCGGATTTTAAGGGATATATCCGGCGTCAATACAGGCTGCCCCATAAGTAACGCCTGCCTATTAATAAGCTATGAAATATCGTTCATCCAGCCTAATGGCTATAAGTAGCAGGGTCTATAGGCCAAGCGTATTATATACCTATGGAATTCACTAATAAACTTCCTACTCAAGTATATCCATCCCTTGGCCGAGGCATGCCGAAGCTCTCCAGATCGTTGCATTTATCCTGCAGGTATATAGATAAAGCTCAGCCAATTGCGGCTGCATCCTCGGTATCGAAAAGCTGTTGGATGGAATCTCGAATAAAGTCAAGCAGCTTCATTAGCAATTCATATATCTTTGTCTCGCTTCCAAGTTCGACTCCGTGCATCTCCTGAATCAGTCGCGAAAGAATCTCCCCAAACCCATCAACCTGGCAGAAGTTGCGAATGATTTGGAAGAACCTGTTCATAACAGTGTCCTTGATAGGTATCGACGTGTTGAGATGTTGATGGAACAGAACAAACCACATATTAAGCCACTTCTCCTCATCCGTTGAACCACTTTTAAGGCGTTTCTCAAGTCTTTCCCATGCTTGGCGTGATACGCCACGCTCATTTTCTGAGGTCGCTGGCGCACATTTGATAGAAACCCGATGAATGTCGCTGGATGGTTCGTCTGGGGAGACCACTCCGCAGCTTTCGCATATAATACCCTCCATCTTGTTGGCATCGAAATTCAAATGACTTCTCTTCAAGTGTTGTTTGACGCGTCCGTAAGTATCAAGCTTCAAATTGATACACCCGAAATGGCGGATAGGATCCCGTATGTAGTAAGGGCAGGCCAAGAACGACTTCGACCATGGTGATGACCTTTGATTGGATCCCCGGCCGCCTGAGTGGTCATTGGGGCTCCAGCCAGAATTACTAAGAACATCTCCATCCTGGCCAACAGCCAGACGCGATGTAAATGATTGAGCTGCGGGTGCGTTCCGGGCAAGCACGGTGGGGAGCGAGTGTGCTTCCGACGAAGAAATGCTTGGAATTTGAGAGACTTGGATCCCTGTCTCATGCGACACGTCGATATGCGGAACCTCTCCAGACAACATCAATTGCTGGGGATTGACAGTCGCTTGTTCATTCAGAAGAAGCTGCAGTCGCCACTGGTCAGAGCTAGAGCCCAACTTAGGAGGATCAGGCGTCATAGATCTGTGCTGGATAACCTCAGGTTCGGGATTTGCTGGAGTCACTAATATATGGGTTTTGGTGAGTGAAAAGCTCCAGAGTACAGCAAAATTAATGAACCAACTGACTAAAAAAGGAATTTCCTTTAGATTTTGACGACTTGAACAAGTCAAAGTCATTCGTATCCATTGTTTTAACGCTCAATAGAATGCTCATTAAGCTTGTGCGTGTCTTGTCGAGAATTGAGAGTCGCGTGTCAAAAGCGTTAGTCTTGCAGAATCAAGAACAAAATAAACAAGTTACGCCATTCAGTGGCCTGCGCCTTGTTTATTTATATGCTCCAACATTGCACATTTGTGTAAAGTCCTTTTTAATTCCTGAATTAAAAAAGTGTGTGTTTTTTAAGATAGGGTGTACATTCTCTGCATATTTCTTGCGGTTTGCATTGCCATTGGTGGGGTGTCAGATTTGAGTCAGTCGCATCCTCAGGTGTCACATTATGGACCCCAACCTCATTGCAAGCTCATCGAATCTTCTACTGTCTCAAGAAAATGTCTGAAAAGGAGATTCCGCAGTAATTGAGGATAACTACTACCAGAAATGCTATTCAGGTGGTGTTCGATTGAGATTCAAGGCACTAGTGGAAACTTATCTGATCAATTTCTTCAGGGCTCTACCGACAAGGTGACGGACCGTTGGGGCGACAGCATCGAAAACCGCTCTAGTCTCCCTCTTGAGCTTGTTAATGCAATCGTGCAGGAGGTCTGATCTAGTGAGGTCGCCATACGCTAGTGCCAATAGAGCGAGTCCATAGGTATGGGTATGAACGACCTTATCCCGACCTTCACCTACATTGTCCAGCAACTCGGCGCCCTCAAGATTGGCTTTCTTGGCCCGATCGATGCGCGTATTCAAGTGAATGACGACGATGGCTAAGTCGGGGATAACGATGTATCTTTCACTGTTCATGTCTGGGGAGAGGATGCCCTCGTTGTGTTTCGAGGCGGATTTAATGGCGAGTCTGCTCAAAAGGCAGTCGATGTGACTGATAAAGACTAAGAGCTGTCTATTATCTTCGGTCGCCCCTGGATAAGTAACCCTGATCTTTCTTTCCGTAAACAGGCGAATATTCCGTCTGTCAAATATGACCGGACAACCTTCTAGACGCCCAGCAGCGGTAAAGGTTATAACGATTGCGCGTCTAGTGATGAGTCTTTAGCATCAAGCGGCACTGTCCCAAGTGTCCAGCAGATTTGATCAAGAGCTAGTAGCCTTTGTACTATAGAGGTTTCTATGACCCTTTTCTTAAATGACACTGTACAGGATTATTGTAGCCAAAATCGTAAACTAGTTAAATCTCAAGTTCTATCAAAAGTCTCTGTGTCCTAAACCAGCCAACTTTCAAAATACCGCGGTCCGCAACCTAGAGCAATGGTGATGTAATTGATTAATACTGAACTGGGCGACTTGACCAACATGGCACGACTCATATGACGGACCCGGTCAACTGAGCCAACACACTGTTTAGACACATAGATATCTTATCTCAGCTCCTTAGATTAACGTGATTTAGTATAGCAAATATCACAAGCATTTGGAAACTATCAGTCCGCCTCAGCACCCTGAGCGCCACACTTCTCTTCACAGTAATAAGTAAACTATGGACTGATTAGTATCTTCAGTTCTATCTCAATCTTTCTAATCTTACCTCATCGCCACCGATGTGACCTTCTGCTGAGTTACATATTGTCCCATCCTAGCAAGAAAATTAGCAAAAACAGCAAATAAGCTTAGAGGACTTGATCTAGAGCTCACAAAAGTACAATCGGTGCATGTATCCCACCACTGATCACCTGTGCTTCGATGATTGTACATATCGCAAGCGCACTTTGTAGCATCGGCAAGAACTTCATAGGTGGTCTGCCAGTTGTAGCTTGGGCTGAATGGAGTTCCGCCAACGGGAGATGACATCCTGTTGGATACACATGCAGCGGCTTTGTGGGTAGCAGCATGAGCACTATCGAAGGTGTTAGATTCTCTGGAAGAAGACGTTGGGGGGCGGCGTAGAACATGACGAACCCGCTGATGGCCATGATGGCCACTGTGAATAGAGAAAGTTGCATGATGATGAGAAAATAAGAGGAATGGTAAGCTGAGGAAGTTGGGTTGGCTGGTCTCATTTCTTCGGTACTTGAACTTGAGTCTTTATACAGTTTGTCTCTCTCCTTCATTTGATGAACTTCTTGCTTCCTGCCGGTCCGAGAATAGTTGCCATAATAACACAAAGACTTACACGACAACACTTTGATCCCAAACAGGATATTCGTAAATCGATCATCGGTGAAGCCGTACATCGGCAGTTGACTTTGGTATAATATTCCCGCCTATCAGGTAACACGATTGCAATAGTTTCATGCCATGATTCAAGAACCCAGTGTCGAAGAATCCAACGTCTTTCTCTATACGAGCAGCTGAAACTGGTAGTTGGGTTGCCCCACCAATGAACTAACTGGAATAGTGACTTGATCATCGACAGCCCTGGGGAACATGAGACGATTCTCCACTTATGAACTACACGATTCGCTTCAAAATAGGAAAGTGCGTTAATTAGCTACCCCAGATTAAAGTTTATTGAAATAGGGATTGACATCATGCTTAAGAACTGTCAAATGTATGGAGTGACGTAGCTTGCAGGATCCGTTCTCTGACCAGTAATAGGAGGGCTGTGAGACTTGACGTAATTGGGCGACATGAAAGTTAGAAGTTAATGCTCTGTACTCGCGTTGGAATAAGACCCGACATTTGGTTATTGAGTTTGACTCTCTCGATCGAGCATAAATACTTGGCTGTCTCCGACTTGGCCAAGAGTAAAGCAAATACAGCAACTCATTCAATCACATTCTCCCTCATCAAACTCAGTCCGATAATCTTTACAAGATGCATCATCTCAGTCTCGTCTACGCCTTACTCATTTCAGCCGCTGGAGCCATTCCGGTAGAAGATGCCCCCTTCCCAGGAGCTACCAAGTGGACTCCCAACTACCAGATTCAACCCAGCGATGTCATCGTTCCTGTAAAGGGTGTTTGTAAGTTGCCATTTTGCAAATGCCTTCGAAAAAATATGCTGAAAACCTGCCAGCCTACGTCGTCAAGGAGGAGGCCTACTTTGCCAAACTCAAGGCCGAAGGGATCAAGATCGGTGCTCCCAAGCTGGACCCCTCTTGGATTTCTGACAATAGCACCAACCTTCCCAAGCCCAAGTACCCCAAAGTCTCAAAAGGCCAGCTTGGAAAGCGAGATGATTGTGACGGCACCTTCTACATCACCACCGACAAGACCGAGACGTTTGTTGACTGGGACGTGCAGATGTCGCCTGTTGTCTGTGCCGTCGGAGACATGGACATCAGTGTGTCTTCAGGCTACAGTGTCGCCAACACTGTTGGAGGCAGCGCTGGAGTCGATCTCACCTTCGTCAAGGACAAGCTGGCAGGGTCTCTTGGTATCGACTACAGCCGCACCTGGACCACGCAGACCTCCGTCATCACCAAGGCTACTATCAAGGACGGTCAGTGCGGTGTCATGATCACCAAGCCTCTGACAACTCGCCGATCCGGTCGTCAGTTCCGTGGCTGCATCGGATCTGCCACTGAGATTGGTACTTGGTATGCTGACAGCCGTGGCGAGGGAAGCTACAACGGCATCACCTGGATTGAAGGTGCTATCTCTGCTTGTGCTAAGCCTGGTAGTAACCCGCCCCTGTCTCGCTGCAACGGAGAAGGAAACTTCCGATAAGCGAGAAGGTGGAAGAGTGATGGGTGGTAAGATGCTTCTCACTCAGATGGCATTGTGCCCTTCCTTTCACGGAGACATTTTTAGAGGCAACGTATCTACCATGGCCTCAGTGACTGTGATGGGCAATGCGCTGAGGCGCAATGAATAGATAGTTCTATTTAGTGATATAATCCTTTTTATGGTACCTTGAGATAGGGAGCGAGAAGGGAAGAATTGACAAATGCTGACCATGTGTGATTAAAAGAATTAATTAAGAGCAACATGTCTTTGCCTCAGATGCACAGCGAAACCTCAATCACAGCTCGGGATAACATCATGTATGATGACTCTATTATCGCGGGGTTCAGAGCCCTAGTCCCCAGTCCGGGATCAAATGAAAATGATATAGTGCTCAGTGTGCGGGCCGGTTTTGATGGTCTAGAGGTACTTTCACTTCCGAAATGGAGTGTGCCGGCTACAGGGTGCAGTTTGCGGTGTGCCATCGGAAGCATCAGTGATTGAGTCACGGCTGCGTAAACTTAGCTACCCGGCTTCTTTTTACTTCCGGAGTGGAGTGCCGGCTGCGGGGTGCAGATTCCGGGGTCCCTAGCATAACCAGCCCTTCAGGCTTTACCCTTGTTTTCGCTCCCGATAACTAGTGCGAAATCTGAACTCCTTTTGCTTAGCCGTTGATACGAGAGCAAGTGCATGACATAGTTACTAATTGCTATTTCTATGTGGCCTATCGCTTCTCTTATTACTTACAGTGCATTGCCGAAACTGAAGTTCTGTCATATCATCATTTGTTAACTTTTTCTACCTTTGTTCCACAATTCGCAACCTCAGTAGTTAGTTATGCCGCAATTCAATGTCATCATTGTGGGCTGCGGTCTTTCAGGGCCGTTGCTTGCGAGTGGCCTTCTGCATGCTGGTGTCAAGGTAGACGTGTACGAGAGGATGGCGGCCGATGCAAAACGAGACGGCTACCAGATTCGCGTCGCCCAGCCTTCCATGGACGCCTTTGATCTCAATCTCACCCCAGAACAAAACCAGAGAATCCGAGCGAGCCTAGGGCATTTCGACGCCAACGAGGAAACTACCCCTGTCTGGTACAATCACAAACTGAAGCCACTCTTGGAAATGGGGCGCATTAGCGAGCAGTATCACGGCTCCGCGCCAATGGACAGGGTAGTGCTGCGTGATATTATAATAGAAAAGCCGGTGGAGAGTGGCGTCGTGCACTTCGGCAAAGGCTTCTCCGGCTATGACATTATTTCAGACAAAGGAAGGGAAAGAGTACGCGTGTCCTTCGATGATGGCACTTCAGCAGATTGCGATCTATTGATTGGGGCGGACGGAAGCCACTCTAAAGTACGTACGGGGGCAAGACCGTCACACTTGTGTCCACTTAATGCTGACAGCAGAATAGGTCAATAAACATCTCGGCCTGAATAATATCCAAGACATCCCCGTCATAAACTTCATCACAAAGACACATTTGTCAAAGGACAAGCTGGCAGCGCTGCCTGCGGCTGCTCGACATTCACCGATGCTGGTTTTCTCACACAGGAAGACTTACTTTTGCGTTGGTAAGCCACACATCTATCGCCTCTGACTAGACTCTGGGTTGGTAATATTCCACGACAGCATATATTCCGAGCCGACAGCAGAAAGACGGTGCAAAAGGAGACGAAGGATCGTCTACAGGAACTTCTGACTACGACGAAGATTTGGCCACTTTCACCTTCTCGTTACAAATGCAGAAAGACGATTGTCCAGAAGACATCAAGAGTTGGAACAAAGATGCCACCTGGAAATTCCTAGAAGAATCTCTAAGTGATTGGGACGATGCTTTGTATGCGCCCCTAACACCCCTACGAGATGCAGAGGCACAGGCTAACAGTCATCCCAGCCGCCAAGTCATAAAGGTTATCAAGTCAGAACAGGTCTACGTTTTCGAACCTCGCGCGACCAAACGGCCGGCTCTCAACTGGCGCTCCAAGGTTCGAACAGCGGCCAATCCTAATCTCGGCCATCCGCGAGTATGGTTGATGGGTGACGCCATGCACGTCATGTTGCCCAACAGAGGCATGGGTGGCAACCAAGCCATGCTTGACACTACAGTGATCTCGCCTCTGATCCAGCGCCTTGACAAGGCTATGACAACCGACGGAGCACTTGAGACCGAAGTGGTCGCGGCTGCCTGTGAGGAGTATGAGAGGGAGATGATCCCAAGAACCTTTTACTGGGTCGAAACAAGTGGAGGAACAAAGCCAGTTGTAAGTGCGAATGGCTCTTTTTTCCCGGTAAGATATGCTAACCTTTCGCAGCCGTTTGACACGAATACCTTTTTTGGCCGATGTGTAGCATGGTATATGAAGTTGTCGCTGGATATCAGAGATGCAAAGCATTCAATTCTGAGGTTGTTCAGATTGAAATAGTGTCGACCCTTTGGTTGCCTCAGCCCTTATAACCTGTACCTTAGAGAAACGTTGAAATAGTAAATGGATTCCACTCGCATTACCATTCTGAGCTATAGAAATGCTGCCGAGAGATGCCACTAAATAGTGATAGTAGAAGTGCTATGGTGGTGGGTAAATGCCCAACCGTGTTGAAATGAACACTTTTATTTCGGTCAGCTGGTCGTGCGCTCTTTGGAGGGGAGGATCTCAGAAGCACCAAGGCGCCGCCACGAGTAGTAAGACGTATGGGAGACGGCATATCGCGGCATAGAAGAAGAGGCAAAGTGCCGTCTCTGCTTCCTGGCAACTGAAGCGCCGCTAAATATCCCGGCACGATGTTAAGCAACATCGTTTGATAAGTTTCATATATAAATCTGTTCATCACTCTACTAGCGACAGCTCGTTAGTATTTTATAGGCACTGAAACCTTCCCTGTACTCAGGCTGATATTTTACAAGGTCTCAAAGGTTCAAGTGGTTGAGCATCCTTGCAAGACCTGACTGTAGTGCATTCTATGGATTTTATGCCTGTGTCGAGCTGATAATCTTCATTAGGTCTATGCAATATCCAAGCGAAAGAGCCTTCGGCCTGTTATCGGTATGTCCTTTCACGGCACCGTACTCTGTGACTGCGAAGACTCCGGCGAACATATCTCTTTCTATGGCTATGAATCTGAAGCAAGAATACTAGGATAGCTTTCGCGATTGTGACTATACATTCCCGGACGCTGCAAGAAGTTCTCAATATCCCCAGGCACTCGGCTCTTCTCGTTCAACCCCAGCTGCGCAGAAATGCCCTGTATGTTGCGTGTCCAAGGCGCTACAAAATCGAGCAAGTATAGCACCTTGTTGCTCATCATGGCTTGTATTCACTCTGCCTCGACTAGCTTGATGGCTAGGTCATCCATGATTACAATGTTGATATACTCTTTGAGGTTTACTTCTCTGAACTTTCCCCACTCGGCGGGAGAAAATCTGCGCACAAATTGAGAGATACAGATACGCTGCTCTGCGATGGATAGTCTAACTGCAGTCAGTGATATGCTCATAAGCTGCAGACCTCGAATCTTACGTCTGGCCGATGCACGAGCGCGTGCCTCTCGAAAAAGGATACAAGTATGACTCCAGCTCTTTGGCATTGTCTTGTAGCCACCGGTCAGGCTGATATTCCAGGGGTTGGGGGAAGACTTTTTCGTCAAAAACTAAGTAGGATATCGGGCTCGTAACGATTGTCTGTTCGTGTTAAATGGTTTTCTCAGGAAGCATAGCCACACTTACCCCAGGTGGGATGAATACACCATCGCATTGCAAGCCTTCTGGAGGAACCACTCGTGGCAGTCGCCCTCGTGGCGGACAGGTTATCCGTAGTCCTTCCTTTATGCAAGCATTGAGTAATGGCAGGTTTTCGAGCTCTTTCAAGCTCGGCTGGGAATCCTTCTCCGGCATAATCGTCTTTAACTCGGCTCGCAGGCGGGCGTATAGGTCAGGTTTGTGCAGCAAGTGCCATAGCCCGATAGCAACAGTGCTTGCAGTTGTGTCCGTGCCTATGACTTGTTAGCTTGTATTGGCATAGAGTCAAAAACATCTTACCAGCAAAGAAGAGTGTGCTACTTTCCGCAATAAGTTCTTCATCACTTAGCTTTTGCTCTTTTGAGTCAAGCAGCTCCTGCATGTTTGAGAAAAGACCTGGTTGGTCCAAGTCCGTTGCTTTGCGGGAAGCTATTAATCTCTCCATACCGATCTATTGGCATCGATATTGTGAGTATGCGTATTTGTGCAATCAAGGTGTGACCTACCGTCTGTAAGAGTATAACAGCATCTGGTGCCATCTTAGGGAAAAGTTTGGCAACTACACCAGCAGCCGTTTTGAGAGAAGCGAAATGCTGGAACTGTAGAAAGCATTAGCTCGAACTTTGCGACGTAATGGTGCACAAATCTTACTACAAGTAGTTCCCGAGGCGAGTTGTCCAAAGCTTCAAAGATCCGTCTTCTCGTTTCATCATCAATGTGTGACGGATTGCCTATGTTAATCCCAAAAGAGAAAGCACAAATCGAATCAAGGGCGAATTTACGAATTGCAGGGAAGATTGCGGTTGGCTGTTGAGATCGAATGTTTTCGGTGATTTCGTTTAGGAGCGGCTTCATGCATTCGTATATAAGCACCTGGTGAGCTGCGAAGGAGGCTTGAGAGAACGACGGTGACATGAGTCTCTTCCTTCGAGAATGAGATTCGGGGTCTTGATAGGTGAAAAGATTCCCATGTTTCCCACTAAAGCCGTCATAGAAGGTTTTCTCCTTGTAGAACTTGGTTCCCTGGCGGTTGATAGTCGTGAAAACATCTCTGTTGTTTATTGCGACTTCGTTTGGCGATACTCGAACTAACTGTCCTAGAAGGTATCAGCACGAAAGACAACGAACAGCAGCACTTCAGTCGTACCATGCTTCTTATGTAGCCTTGCCAACGTGTTCGCAGCATCTCCACCAAGTTCTTCAGAGAACAGCCAGAACTTAGTGAGTTTGGCCAGAAACGGGCCTGGTAGTTTGGCGAGTGGGTGGAAGAAGAGATTGTAGATGACGTTAAACAGAAGATAGGCAATGCCGAAGCAAGGGAGCAAAATCCACAAGGAAAAGTCAGTAAACATCATATTTACGGTAAGTAGCTGTTGTTCAAACTGTTTCATAATAGTGATGTATTATTCTTGACATATACCAGAGGACATATTTCCAGTTCTGTTGTGTTCTTATAGCTAGGCCTAGGGACACCACCATGTTCCCTGGAATGGCGCCTCAGACACCATTTGCAGGAATGCGGGGTCTCCTCCCCACACTTTCGTATTGCCGTAACAAAAACCCCAGTTCTCGGGAAATAATAAGATCCCGTCTGGGGAAAGAGAAAACACCAAACTCAAGATCTGCGATTTCGGAAGTCAGTGAGGTCCGGACCCCAGTATATTCTTCTCCACCGAGACCCAAGGTTACTCCTGAGGGGCAACCGATTACGTTAGTTGCCGGGCCGGCATTGCCCTGTTCCCGTCTATCAAGGACAGGTACTCTGAAGAATGATGCCTTGCTAGCAATAATAACATATCTGACAGACTTACAAGCTAGAGTTTTATTTACAGCCTGGAAGACGAGCTAAAACATGTAATGGAAGCAAGCCTAGAAGTCAGGTCAGAAGCTAGTTTAAATATAATTTATTTTTATTTTAATATTTTTTTTAAATATTACCTAGAGATAATAGTAATTATAAGTACTATCTTTTAATATAATAAGGCTTAAGATATTATTTTCTTTATAATATAATAATAAATACTATAACTA